CCACACTGCCAATAATGTAGAGCTGTCAATTTTTTAAGAAGAAAATCCTTTTACAAATGTTTATTTTGGGAACATGTGCAAGTCTGTATGAGTATTTAGAGGGGTACATTCTGTAGCAATCCTGTTTCTTTACTCAGGTTCCAGATGGCTTCACATTCCTGAAGGAAACTGGTGCATAAAGGTGTTAGCTGATTTAATACCAGTTACAGCACAATGGTAAGCTCAGAAGTAAACCCAATTGGGTTTGAAGGAGCTTACTTCCCAGGGAAGAGGGTATATGATGGCTGGATCACTGAAAACTGTCCCTGGAAGACAAGAACTCTGTTTTCTCCCCTTTAAAGTACTGTATTGCTAGTTCCCCTGAACAGCTAAATATTTTTGAAAGCTTCATGTTTACCCTTTAACCACTGATTAATATTTTTGGATGGCAGCAATTTATAAATCAGTCAAGCTTACTAAAAAGGAACAAAAGGTGATGATGGGGCGAATGCAATGGTTCAAGTATTTTAATGAGTGTTGGCAAAAGGAAGGGTTCCGCTAAACATGCATGCAAGGATGGGGACATACATGCACACACTGTCCAGTTTTCTAATTACTCGGTTATTTTCTAAAATGTTAGATATAGCAGACACTCCACACCTACACCTTCAGTTTCGGTTACCTGCTTGGCTGTACCTTTCAAGTTGCCCGGCAAAATATTTTTGTCTCTTTCTCAAGGGCAGCATCTGGCTGGGGCAGGTTAAGCTGCTTTCTAATTGCCGTGATTTAGGATTGCCTGAAGGTCATTATAATACTGCACTTTTAACAACCATAAAAATATTGAAAAAAGCAGCAGCAAGCTTAATAAAAGGTTAAGGCAAATGAAAGATGAAAGGTGTTTCTTTTAGCATCAAGCATGCCTTGCTAAATATTTACTACCCTTTGAACAAGGCTGAGGACAGTAGGATTACATTTCCTCCACACGCAGAGGATTATGATTTTCACCTCCTTGCTCCTCCCGCCCTGTGAATCACCCGTCCAGCTGTGGTGCTTTGGAGAGGGAGGGAATGAGACTGGGGCACTGCCAGGACACCTCGTATCTTAATGGACCCAGTCTGCTCCTCTCCTCCTCCTCCTCCACCAGAATGCCTGCTTCTTACTTCTCTGAGGTTGGTATGAGCTCAGAGAAGTAGCTGGTGGAGTCCAAGCATGGAATCCCAGCTCAGGGGTTGGAGCTGTTTTCCTGCCTTGGAACCGGGAATCCAACGTATCCTCTGGCCCTCTTGACACTGTCTAAACACTATAGGATCTCACACATTCCTAGTTCACCTTTCAAAGCAGAAGGCTTCCCAAGGAGGCTTACAATCATAAAATTAGAGAGTTAAAGACTTCGCACAAACATAAAAAACAGTCAGAGAGGAAGTCATGCATGGCTTTTGTTTTGGTTTTGGTTAGGTTCCTCCCCACCCTCTGCATGAACCTTTAATAACTATCTCAGAGTTGGATATTGCTCCAATATGGCAATAATTTGTTAGTATGGTTCTTGAAAACAAAAAAAAAAAAAAAGAAAAAGAAAAAGGTGAAATGGTATTATACCAGATACCCATTAGTCTTCTTGAACCGTTGGATTTTGCAATATTTTTTTTTGTATTTCTGGTTTTTTTGCACCACCAGACAGTTGTCCAACATAATTTGTATCATTCTACAGTTTACGGATCTTTATACGTATGGTCTGAACTCCGTTCTTAGTGGTATTATCATATTCTTACGGCATTTGACCATTTAGGGCACTTCTGCTTCACTTTGTTCTTGGCATTCTGTCCTAACTCAGGCCACTCACTGGTCCACCAAGCCCAGTCATGCGTATGTCAAGGGTGGGCAACTTGTGGCCTTCCAGATATTGCATCTTTTTCCCTACTCAGCCTGGGATCTACAGCTTGGTGCCCACAGACACCCCTTGTGCTGCCCAGCAAGATTCCTGTCTTCCCGATTTTTATTCTATTTAAGATATCGTTTTAATTACATTGAAAAAATGGAGACTGACATGCTGCAGAAGGATTTCCTACCTTCCAACTCCAACTTTATTGGATGCAAAAGAGTAGCTTTGTATTATGGGCCCTGGATCCCACCTCCGCCTTATATTTAGGTTCTTGGGAAACTTTTCTTTCAGTCTCACCAGCTTGCCTTCAGCTAAAGGAGTGCTTTGAGACAGGCCACCATTTCATGAATGAACTAGCTAACCCAAAGCACACATTTAGTGAAGGTGCCCACTGACGCACACATGTCCCCCTGTGGGCCTTCCGCTAATCACTGAATTTAAAGAGTGCCTCCTCCCCTGTACCCTCAACAGAAGGCTTCAGCAAGGCTCAGATGATGGGCCATGGCAGTCCTGAGTAGTCACCTAAGCTGCTGTTCTTACCCCTGCATGCAAGGGATATTTCCATGCCTTGGACCTGGGACCACGGCCCACATGGTTTGGTGGATGCTGTAGCTACTTCCAGTTATCAGTTTTGCCCCACTGGGACCATGGCTTGGCTCAGCCTTCCTGAAGTGGCAAACACCTTACCAGAAGGATGTCCAACTAGGTCTTCAGTCGGCCATGTGAAAATTGCTCTGATATCAATGCTAACCTTGGCCTTGCCTGTCCTGAGGATGTGCCGTGTGCAAATCTGAGGCGAAGAAATGCCAGTCACACGCAATGCTGGAAATGGCCATAGGTAGACAGTGAACGTGGGTAGACATGCTTTGACTCGGGTAGTGCATCTGTTTCCTACTGGCTCATTCCAGCTTGCCTCTGTTAGACCTGTTTGTATTGCTTTTTTTTCCTTTGACCACTTGCCTGGTCAGCAAAGGGGAGCTGCAAGAGCTTTATGCCTTTCCCTGTTTATATTGAATAAAATTGCACAATTCTACAGACAGTTGTGTTGCACCTCAACCCTCCTTCCCCATTTACCACACACAAAAGTAAAATGCAAGAGTGAACACGCAACTGCAGGACACTTCCCCAAATGCCCTCTTCTGTATTGCTGAAATATGCCTGAAACACACCAGGCTGGTCCACAAGTATGATGTTAGCATCCTTTGGAAGCCTGTGCCCAAAACATTTATATGAAGCTGAGATGAGTCAAGCTGTTCTGCTTTCCGTGCCATTAAATCCAGAATTAATCACAATACAGAATATATGGGAGGAATATATTTTAAAGGCAATAATAAAGGACCAACATTTGATGAATTCATGCAGATTATTAAACATTTCTATGGAAAGCACTCCACGCCTTTCCACTGTGTCTTCTAACTCCAATAGGTTGAAATTCATGGTCACTGCCCATCCCCTCTGTTCCCTCCACCACACACGTCTCATGGTCACTCAGATTTTAAAGGTCTATACAGCATTAGGAATTTGATCCAATGCTCCCAGGAAATTCCTGGTCTTTAGCCTCAGGACAGCTGAGCAGGGCTATGAAGGACAGGATGCTTTGTGGGGCATCCATTCATTGGGTCCCCACAAGTCAGAGGCAACTTGACAGTGTATAACAGCAAAGTCTCTGGAGTCCAACAGTGACATTCATCTTCAAAACCGGGTGCAGGCCATTCTGATGAAGAAATAAATACTCGAGTCTTCCCATGGGAAGAGAAAGCAACTAGGAACCAACACGCCCAGTTTTGTAATTAACTTTTGTTCTATTATCCTTCTACTGACTACAGTAAAACTGGCATTAAAATATTGGGCATGGCAATGATATTATCTTTGAATACTGAGCAGAAGTTTGATTGATAAATCAGCATTCCGTAAAGCCAAACACAGCCAGGGTTTTCTGATCTCGGGATGGATTCCACCTCTTCCTTGCAAAAGGACCCTCATTCTCAAAGCCAGTCAGTTGGACAGCCTGTTTTAAATTGAGGGCTTTGACATGATACAATCATATGTTGAGAAAGAGAGTTTGATTTGCCTTAAGAACAGGTAAGCCTCTCTCCCCGACCCACATTTTTCCTTGTGACAGCCACTGATGCCTAGCTGCAGACAGGAAGTTAAGTAGAGGAGGTCTGTACCTGAGGGCCGAGAGCCTTCTCCTACCGTAATACTAAGGAGCTGCACATCATGAATCAGTAACTTGTGTCTGTGGGCCTAATTCAGCTTGCAGAAGGGTGAAAGGTTCCCTCTCCTTCTGCAAGCTCTGCGCTATATTGTGAGCAGAGGAATTTCCTTCCTGCAACACATTCTTCCAATATAGTGTAAAAAATGACTCAGAAAAAGGGAAGCATTTTGCTCCTGCCCAAACTGTCTTGCATTCATTACAGAAAACCTGTCAAGCAAACGACAGGGATCACGCCAGAACCACCTTGCTAGAAGTCAGAGCAATCTAAGCCAACTGCATTCTTGGGCCACAGGGATACAACTGCCAAGGCAAATCCCATGGCTGAAGCCATCTGGATAGGCCCTGGTTTCTATAAGCACTCTGAGTGCAGTGGGTTAGCATACAGCCATTTAGGGAAGGTGGGATGAGATCTTTGGATCCTTTCCAGTCTTGCGATTCTATGCAACACTAAGGGCTGATCAATGGAAAATGACAATTCCATATGTGGTTTCCTTTCATCAGAGAGTCAGAAGCGCTTGAACTCTACAACAATATAAAAACATGGCAAAAGTAAAACAGCTAATTCTAGGCTATCTATTGAAAATCAAATCTAAATACAAAGAGAGAAGAGAAGGACAGCCAATGTAGCATAAAGTACTGGGTTTCGACTGGGAAGATTATCTTGATCTAACCTACTCCATTAGGTCATTTTAGGATAAAAGCAAATAGAGTCCATGCACATCATGCAGAAATATATACCTTGCATACTGTAGGGAGAAGACAAAGGATAAAGCCAAAAAAAGAGTGCAATTTAATCTTCAGCACTTAATGTTTTTATAAAGGGGAGAAGACTACTGCCATTAGTAAGTTTGCAAGATGTGAGGAATGTCTCAAAAATGAAGGACAATGAGAGTTTTTCTCCTCCCCAAAAGACTTTCCACATACCTGTTTGGTAGTATGCAGCTCTTCAGCTAGTTGCTTTCTCACACGCTCTGACTCTGCCAATTCTTCCTGTTAGTACGAAAGGGGAAAATAATTAAGCAATGACTTCTGAGGCTCTTTTTTGTCCTTTGATCAACATGAGTCAAGGAAATCTGACTGGCATTGCCAATCATTGCTAAAACAGCTGCCAACAAATCATTTGTGTTGCCTAGGAAAGGGGTATTCCATTATACAGAGTTCATTCTGGTGTGCAAGTTTAGTGGAACAACAATACCACATCACTGACCTGGTTCTCCCCTAATGGCAATTCTTGGGGTAACCCAGGACTCAGCATGTTTGAGAGGGAGTGGAAAAAGTCTAAGCACCTGCCTGTCACTTCTGTTCTGACTCAGCCTGCTGAAACAACCCAGGACAGGTCATTTGTGAGTTGCTGTCTTGACATGTGAACCCAGCACTCTGGGCTGGTGAGGGTTAAGCAAGAACAGGAAAAACAGCATGTCTCTGTATGCTAACCTATGTTCGATAGCACTTCTATCTCATGTGCCTTTTGGAAGGTGAAGGCCTCCTCCTTGTCTACTTCTTGAAGGAACCCTTAGAGAAGCCATTTGTTTCTTAGTTGTCATCACAAGTGTGTCGACCTCATGCTGCATACGATCCAGGTCTCTGAAGTGCTTAGTACTGGTTATAACAATTTTACTGTAGCACCTGAGTTTCCATGGAGGGAAATCTACCTGCCAGGCCTCAAGGAATGGACCAGAGAATTGAGTGGCCACTGAGAGTGGCCCTGTTTGCACAATGCAGTAGAGTCCATCAGTCTAAAAAAGGGCTTGCTGTGTATGAGTGGGCCAGCAACTGAGAGCTCTATAGAGATCATGGCTTTGCTGGGACAGCAGAAAGCCTGGCAAAGTGGCATCTCCTGACTCCATGCAGCAACTAACAAGGTGCCCTCAGTCCACAATGCACGCTGCTGGCCATTCTGTGGCTCTAACTTTCAAGCATCACTGCACTAGATCAAATTAGCACTACACCAGCCACAATTCAGCATCTATTATTTCTCCTACTCGGCAAGTATTCCTTCCATTTCCAAGGTTTGTTTGCTTTGCTGTGCCATCATGAGGGATCCCGGCACTCTTCGTGTGCCCCAGGAAATGGCACTCCGTCGTATGGCTTCGCGCATCCCAGGGCCTAATCCTTGGCACTCCATGCAGGGTTTGGAGTCTGGTGGCCCTCTCCCTCAGTGAGCCTGCCTTCTCACCACGGCCGTGCTCTTGCTCCGCTCCTTCCTCCGCATTCCTGCTTGACAGGCAAAGAGGCTGCCAACAGGTGGGCTGTGGCATCTGCTGCCCCTTGTTCTTGCTGGCACCAGAGCTATGTGAAACACACATGCACAGAAGCAATGCCTTGGAGGACTGGCTCCAAAGCGGAGTTTAACCCTCCTAGTCGCTGCTATTTCATGGGAGTATCAGGGTCCCAGCACCTTACGTATCTAGCCCAAACCTCTAATGCTTGCCAATCATTGGCTCTGCAGATTTACTAGAATAATCAAGCTACGGGGTGACCAGAATGGGTTAGGTGTGCCTCGCCTGCCTGTCTGCAGTGGGAGACAGTCACTCACCCAATTGGCTTGTAACATTCAGCCAAGCATTCAGAGTTCTGGGAGGACCAGTCACTATTTGTTGCTCTTGCGCAGCCAGTCTCTGGGGCAAAATGCTCTCCAGGTCTTGGTGTTTCCCATCATTGCACTGATGGGTGAGGCTGTCGCAGGAACAAACAGCAGGAACGGTTATTTATTTATTTGGAGTTTTTGTATGCCGTCCCATTTGCATGAGCCTCGGGGCGGCTTCCATAGATAGCCTCGGGTTAGCTTCCGGGGATTATCTGAAGGGCCACTACTCAGCCCCAATGCAGTCAGCAAGAGAAGAACTGCTTTAGTTGCCTTGGAGAAGAGGAACGGGGTGTGCTGGGGGGTGGGGGGAGGCAGAAAGTGGGGCTGATGGCTTAGGACTCTCCCTCTGCAGCACTTTATCTAGGGGGCCAAAAATGGCCACCTTGGGTCCGGGATACCTGAAGGAGCGCCTTCTTCCCTATGCACCCACCCGCCCCTTGACATTTGAGGCAGAGGTCCTCCTCCAGGAGCCCTCCTTGAAGGAGATTAGGAGGGAGAGTACCCAGAGGAGGGCCTTCTCTGTGGTGGCGTCCCAACTGTAGAATACGCTCTCCAGAGAGGTTCGCCTGGTGCCGTCACTTTATTCTTTTCAAAACCAAGCTAACCCCTTTTTATTTTCCTGTTATTTTAATGTTTAATTTATTTTAATTGGGGTTTTAGTATATTAATGGTCAGATGCTGTGGGGCTGTTCTATTCTATTTGTTTATTGTAAGCCATCCCAAGACATTCTGTAGGGGACAGGATAGAAAAGCGTTGAATAAATAAATAAATAAAATTAATAAAAAGGGGCAGGGTGGGAGGAGCAGAGGGGTGAAAGCTGTTGTTACCACACTGTGGATCATGTCCTAGATGCACAAAAGTCTCTGGGTTTGGAGAATTAGATGCATCAAGCATGGAGGATACTAAACATGAAGTACTAAACATATGGATATGCTGACTTTCTCATTCTCACACACACAGAAGCAGATCTAAATTTCTTTATTGCCATTTCCCCCTTAATGGCATCTTCTTAAAGCAGTTGAGGGCTAGTCTGGCGACATCGCAAGCCACATCAATCATCTAGGCTGGAGGCATAAGGAAAACAAGAAAGCTTGTTCCCTGTCCGATGCACCCTAGCCTCAAGGTTGGCGGAAGCCTCATGGGACAGGAAATGTAATGTAATGACCATACATGATTTTTAAACCCATCAAGTCCAGCCAGCATGGCCTGGCCAAATACTCTCTCTGAATTCCTTCTAATCAAAGGCGTGCACCTGAATCCAGGAAAGGCAACTATTAAAAATGACCAGATAGAAAGCAACGCGACTGCAGATTGAAAGCGAGCGCTGCTACTGAACTGGGTAGCAATAGCACCGGGCACCAGCATGAAGGACTCAAACGTGGAAGTGCAGAGAGGATTTTTTTTTTTTTTGGTCCAAGGGACAAAATCAGAAATGTTCTTTATTACTGAACAAATTAAGCCTTATTGCAGGCAGCCAGACAGGAACGGTGATTATTCCATGAAGTTGGCAGAGTGTTACTGAAACATAAATTATGGAGTGGGAAACCTTCTGCCAGCAGAAAATTAGAGAATGCCTATAATAAGTAACAGTTTAAAAGAGTTCTTTAAAAAGAAAGAAAGAAAGAAAGAAAGAAAGCACTTGTATAAGAATAGAAATCTATACTTTTCTTATTACTAGGAAGCTCATTTCTTTGTGATTTATAAGAAATTGGCTTTATAGACAGGACAGTTAATGAGGACTCCATTTATTTCTCAGATTCTAGTTAAAGCATGTACAGAGGAAAGGAGAAGGAATAATCCAGGAGCCTTAACAATGAGAAATGAATGAATGAATAAAAACTGAATGAAACTAGAGGTGCAACGTTTAGCTGATTAATTGATTAGATTCATCAACAAAACACATTTTGACCCATTCAAAAGGTGTTCTTGAACTGGGTAGGCCCAAAAAAAGTATTTCAGTTTTATCCTGCCTTTCCCTCAGGAGAGCAGCAATGCTTTCTCTACTCCATTTATTCTCACAACAAACCTGTGACCTAGGTTAGGCTGAGAAAGCATGATCGTCCTTACATCACTCAATGAGTTACAGGGCAGCTAGGGAGTCTTCATGGTACAAGTCTAACACTAAATAATTGTGCTGGCTTGCAAGTGCGCTAATTGTTTCAAAATCCTTGGAAGAGGCATTCCTACTTTTCTTCCATATAGGAAAGAATGCTTCTTCTCAGGAGAAGCATGGATATCCTGGAGCATGTACTTTCAAAGACTGGATCATGTTTTTCCCTTCCAAATTATTGTTTTATTCATATGCAAACCCTTGCAGATTGAATCAATCAAGCATATGATTATTTGCCGGGCAGTGCAATCCAGTGGGACTGCCCAGAATTCTCTGCACCTGAAGGATTCCAGGCATCCTATGGAGGGTGGAAGCAACCATACTGGTGGAGGCATGGTGAGAACTGTAGGGCTTGGTTCTGTCTAGCCACACATGGAACTGAGGTTTCAATCCTTCTATTTATACCCCACATTGCTGTCCAGTGGTATCTGCACACATTTCAGAGAGTTGTTTAAAACAGGCAAAGAGATGTTTAAAATTATAAAGCAAAATACTACCTTCAATTTACGTATTTCTTTCAATGCTTCATTTCTTTCGTTCCTAAGTTCTTCCATCTCATCTCTTTCGGGAGAAGCACAGGATACAAACTGTATACATTTAAGTATGGAGGCAAGGAAGGGAATTACGGACATGGACATAAGAATTTAATCATAAAGTAATTTGAGAAACTTAATCTTTATTGTTTAAACTTTCTAACTCAGTCTTGTAAATATAAAGGACAGTAACTAATGCTGTCATGTCATCTCTGCTGCTTTGCTTGCGCCAGTGGGAGTGACTGCTTGCATAACAGGCATATTGTGCTAAAAAATAGCCCCAGAAACGTTCATTTCCAGACTGGGACAAATTCAGCAGAACTCCCTTCTGCATGCTCTGCTGATGTGCCCCCTTTCCGAAACTAACTTTTCCATTTGTTCTGAGTGGTCTGTAAAATTGCAAGTTTCCTATTGCACAAGATCTCGCTCCTACCGGCACACTGGCGTCATATGATGTTGCTCAAAGTCCTATAATTTTCCCTCTGCAAATAATTCAATTAAACTTGCAAAAACTGATATGGAAGAACAAAAAATCAGCAAGATTTATACAGACATTTTTCTTAACAATATCCTAACTGATCATCAAAGGGCAGGCTAATTTTTAGAAGATGCTCATAAGGCTGCTTTAATTTCATCTTAAAATGTTAAGCCAGATCATACAGTGGCTACAACCTTGTGCACACTTAGGAGTAAGGACCACTGAACTCAGTGGGACTTACTTTTGCTAAGAGGTACACAGAATTGTGCTTTTACAGAATTAAATTTGCAAAACATTTTAAAAGAACATGAAAAACAATAAAAACTAGCAGGAGAAAAGACCAGTAAACAATACAAATTATTGGATATAGCACATAGCCTTTGGTATCTGCTGATATCTTTCTCAAAAAGAAAAGTTTCCACTACCCCTGAAAGGCAGCTGTATGGATCTCTCTCATTCAAGGGCTTCAGGTTATCAGAGTTGCCACCAAAAGCACCCCACTACTGGAAGAATGATTCTAATTTAGGATCACATTCAGAATATGCAAAATAACACATTGGCCACATATTTGGGAGCAATCTATGGAACTGAAATACTTGCATGCCAATTTACTGGCATTTCTGAGAATATCGTGCAGTGTGTTGCTTGAAAGGACCTGACTAGAATCCTTCAAAGATGTTTTGATGAAGCTGTGTTTAAATGAGTTAAAATAAATCAAGAGTACAACAACCTTAAAAAATTAACCTTGGTTTATAGCTACAATAGTTAATCAAGTTCTGGTAAAGAGTCACATTATATACCTGGGAATCTAGTAACGTGGCAACTTCCTCAGTAGTAAACCCTGTAGGTCCTTGGGTCTCACCTGCCCCATCCAGCTGCAAACAGAATAGAGTTTTTGCCACCTGAACAAAATCTAAAATAGACATTTTGTTAGTGCATATCTCCAAGATCAACTGCAAAAGCATCAAGCTACAATTCCTGTCCAACCTCCCATGGCCAGCTTGTCAATATTTGCATCAGAAATTTGGTTCTCTCTTTCTTAAGCCTTTCTGTTTTTCTTTCTTTTTAGGCTTTTTAGGTAATTTAGGTTAAAAATACCTACAATTATCAAAATTATCCTACAACTTCAGTCAAGCTATACACATATAACTATAGTTATATTATTACAGTATATAACTAAATATTAAACCTGTGAAAATATATCTCTAATAATTATATTAACCAAACATATACAACATAAACTTTATATATATTTACACACCAATAAATTGTACCAGCAATACATATGGATTAATGTTTCTCCCAAAGAAAATGAACTAACTCAAGCATTCTTGGTATGTACTTCTTTTAGAATGAAAAACATCTGATTTTACTCCATTAACACAAACTGACAATACATGTTAACCGAATACAATTGGAAACTTAAATTCCAAATTTCAAGAGAATCTCGTGCGGATAGATACATTCTTTCCTGTCAAAGGCCTTTCGTGCAGTGGGAAATAACAGCACATACGAATTTCCCTGGTTTCTGTTTTTAAAATTACATTTAAGAGTTGTTGCAGATAGGTTTCTAATTTTTGACCCTGTCATTTTATATCATCCATTTCCTAAATTATACTGGATTCAAAGGGTATGCTGTGAAATCTGGAAAATGCAAAAAGGTCGCAGAATCTTAACAAATTCAGATATTTTGGCCTACAAATCCCATGATTCCCCACTACTTGCTATGCTTCCTAGGGCTGATGAATGTTGACCAAAACATGGCCCATCTCTAAATAATATTCCTCCACTTTGATTGCTATTAAATCAAAACTGGCAAGCTGCAATTGTGCTTGCCACTCCAAACTAGAATTACAATCCATAGCATGACCCTGGTTAGCTATTCTGGTTTGAGGAGTACAGATACTGCATAATTTTCAGTATAGATGCAATGGATAACAAATTTATAAGTAAGAAGTTACAAATCAAATCTGTAAGATTTGTAAGTAAGAAGTTACAAATCAAATCTGAGCATGCAAAAGTGGGGAAGTAGAAGAACCTGCTACATATATTTGATTTCCCAAATCATCTTCCTACAACACACCTCAGTCATGAAAACATATCAAATTAACAATAAGGTAGAATAGTAACCACACATTTGGAACAATGAGGCTGGGAAAGACCAAAGAATAAGTATGTGAGTCTATGCATTGAGCTATAATCCTTGGTTGCCCCAAAACATGGAATGGTGTGCCTGGAGAGTTGCATGAGATATTCCAGACAGGTACCTTCAAGGGGGAGCTACTAATATGTGCCTTTTGACAGGCTTTCCCAGATTATTATTATTTAATATGCTGTTCTTAATCTGAATTTGAATTGTTGTTGGTTTTAAATTGTTGTAAACTCACCAGAATGTATGGGAATAGGGTAGTACAGTGGTACCTTGGCTCACAAACGCCTCAGTTCATGACCAAATCAGGTTGCGAACAGAAATTTCGGAGAAATTTTGCCTCAGGTTGCGAACTCCGCATCGGGTGACAACCACAATCGTGACCATCTCCACCACCCCACACACACCCCGAGCACGATCACTATCGCACGATTATCTTTTGGACTCTCCCTCCAAACAATAATCCCACCCCCAACCTAGGTTAGTGTTCTCTACTATACTATACTTTGTTGTTGTTTGTTACTTTGTTTCAAATTTTTGTGATTTAAAAAAATGTTTACAGAATGGATGAACCCTATTTACATTGAACCTTATGTGGAAATTTGACTTGGTTCGTGACCCAAATCAACTTGTGACCCTGTTCATAAGGGGCAAACTGTATTAACCTTATTTACATTGAACCTTATGGGGGAATTTGACTTGGCTCTAAACCAATTCGAGTCATGAACAGAGTCATGGAATGGATTAAGTTCATGAGCCGAGGTACCACTCTATATAAAAGCCAGTAACAAATAAATTAATAAAACTCTCCAGTGTACTTTCGAGATGGTCTATGGGTTCATAGTGAAAACAAAAGAAAACAGTGGCCTCTTCCAAAGCAAACAATGCTGACACCCAAGTAGGCCTCCTGCGGCAGTCCCGTATAGCTTTAAAGACAGGCAGAGTCAAGATGAAAAGAATGTTGCTATGTGGTAGGTTAACTCTTCTGGTTTCGGACAGGTACTGCTATGCAGGACCATTCCTTAATTTCTCATGACTCCTTAATTTTTCATAAGAATCCATGCCTTGGTTACTTTCTGCTTGATTACTGAAACATGTCTACCTTTCAAAAGTGTCTGGACGTTTCAGCTAGTTCAAAATATAGCAGCTAGACTGCTAATAGGTGCATGAAGTTGAGATGCTATTACACCAACACTAAAAAACTAGGCTCAATTCAAGGTGCTGGTGTTAATCTTTAAATCCCTAAATAGCCCAGGGCCAGCAATTTAGGGGACTACCTGTTTCTTTATGAATCTATCTCATTTTTGAGATACTCAAAGGAAACTGTTTGCTAGGGATGGTTAGCCAGCATCCAAGAAAGGGGTGTCTCCTGTGTCACTGCTAAATTGTGGAATGTTTTCTCTCCAGAATTATGATTCCCCTCCCTTGGCTTTCAGATAAAGTGTTAAGACACATTTTCTTAACTTCATATTTACAATTATTTTAGTATGTGATTGTTTTAATGGCCTTTTTCATTTTTTCCCCTTTTTATGCATTTATTTTACATTGGTTTTGTTTCACTTTGTCGTCTTGGCAAAAAAGGATAGTAACCAATACGAATACAAGATGAGTCTTTCTGCATCAAAACGAGTGCGACTTTCTGTTCCCACAATGGCCAACCAGAATCTTTTGGAAAGGCTGTAAGCAATAGCACCTCCTACTCAACCAGTTCCTCCCTTAGAAATCCTACCCATAGTTTAAATACACCCCCCTTCTCATTCATTCTGTGCATTTGTTTTGGCTTTTCAAGGACAGTGGAATCAGAATGCAAGAGGAGCTAGGTTTTAATCCAAAAACCCTCAAACACGTCTGACTTCACGGTAGCTGAAAATTTAAAAAATGTTTTGGCACACAATGCAAAAGCAAAACAAAAGACCACTGTCAGACTGGCAAAGCAGAGCTTAGGCTAAAGGCACCCAGTCTAATGTCACACTGGATAATTTAACCTAAACTGTGTTTTTATTAGAAGACAATCAACATTGCATGGAAAGTTTTTACACTGGGGGCAGGGGCAGGGGGAGAGGGGAGGGAGAGGAGGAGAAAGCGAGGAGCAGAGAGAGAGAATGCATAACTCCTGATTACATGTTGCTAGAACTTTCTTCAAATGATTACCTCCAAAAGCCACTGTTCCCTTAGAATCCTTTGGCAGCTGTTGTCTTAGGATCTCCTGTTGTTCTTTTGTGGGTTGAATCCCAAGAAAATTCAGAGCCTAGGAAGAGGAGACAGAAGCAGCACCAAGAATTCATTTTCTCTCTTAGAAGGATGAGCCTGACCTCTTGCTTTACAACTGTGTATGGCAAACAAGAACTGCCTTTTAGCACCACCGTTAACCATTATGAGACGGCACGACTCACCAGAGAAGATAAAGAAAGCTGAGGACAGAAGAGGAGGAAGACCAACCCTGAGATGGCTCCATGCCATGAAAAAAGCCACAGCTTTGAGCTTACAAGAGCTGAGCTCTCGAGGACCAGACATTTTGGAGGACATGTATTCATAGGGTCACCATAAGTTGGACGCAATGGCACATAAGTACCACAACCACAGGCAGAAAACTTGGGACCCATCTTAAGTTGCACTGCTGAACTGCACCCTTTCAGATCACTTGAATGTTCTCACAATACCTACATGTAAAAGGCGGCATGTCAGGAAGAAGACTAGCACCTTCTCTCCGACATGATGAAGGCAAGGAATGCTTTACTGCCTGACTTTTCTCCTCATTCATCTAATATGCTGATCACCCCAAGTCATTCATTTCCCAGCTTGGCACCATCACTGGGAATAAGTGGGGCCCCCAGTGCACATGATCTTGATCTTGATGGCACATCTTTTCCCACAAGCTCAGCTTCCTGAAGCGACTGGATCGGCACACATGCGCAGGAACTGGAGAGCACATGGCATTAGAATTCAGACAACAGATGTGGGAAACGCTATTTATTTATTTATGTAAAGTATTTTTATCCCACTCCTCTGCAAAAAAAGATTATGGGAGCAGCTTAAGAACAATCAGTAAAATAAGGTGGCCCCTGCAGGCTTACAATCTAACAAGACACCAGGCCAAGGAAAGGTGAGGGGAGAAGTAAACTTTCCAATGGATTAGCAGACTGGCCCTGCTCTCGCCTTTGTTTTGTTGAATTGCTAAAAAGAGGGTAGCAAGGAGGATGGACCAATGACTTCCCCCAAATCATTTCCTCATCTTGCTCCCCATCACCTAAAGATAGGACACATTTGTTTCTCCTATGTACCATCAAAATAGAAAGTTTTATATACTTGTTGATGAGTTATGAAGTGCATTTAGCATCAACTGCAAACTTGATGCTAAATGCACCTTTAAAAAATAAGGCACTGCTAGAGCAGCCCAGAGGGTGCTCACAGTGGTTCATTACATAATCTCTGTACAACATAAGTGTAAACATTTCTATGCTTTCCTTTCTCCCGAACTCCTCCTCCTCATTGTGCTTCAGCGGGTAGCCATGCCTGCCAAGAAAAAGCACAAGGCAGGACAAACAAGAGATTCAAGGAATCCAAGTGAGAGCAAGTATGCCTTTTAGATGCAATCCAAACCCAGCTGCTCAGTGACCTCCACTCATTTCAGCAACTTCCCACTGAAACAGACAAAACCATGCAGAGCGGCAGTGCTGGGTAGATTGTGCTCTTACTTGACAGATGGGGCTACCTATTAAAGTATCATGAGAAGGGGGATAAAGTGTACTTGCAACATTACCAAGAGAGCCATTTCCCAGCAGTGTACCAGCACCTGAACACAGAGTTAAGAGACAATCTTTTAAAAGCAGCATGTGCAATTTGAAGTACAGCTCTTTGCACTGCATTAGCACTTGGCTGTCATAAAAAATGTGGCAAAACAGAAGGGCAAATTCCAAAGCCAATTTTCGATATCATAGCCAAAGTGATAGGAATTATTTAGCTGATGGCCCTCACAGCCCAAAGCAATTTTTCATATTATTTAAAAAGATTTCACACTTACTGTCATTGAAAGGGGTGAAAAGAAGTAAGTATCATGAAAACAAAAATGAATTGTTCTTGCACAAATCTCAAAAAACACATGCGACATAGGCAAATGGCAGTGAGAAATTGCTGCTAAAAGCATCTTGATGAAAGCTCTTGAAGAGAAAAAAAACTGTATGAGATCCAAACACTTTCCACTCAGATTGCAGATGTTTTGGGGAAGCAACGAGTGGCAGCAATGGGAGACTTCCATTACCTTGATATTTGTTGGGAAGCGGTCTTGGCTAAGTACAAGATCTCCATAAAACCCCTAACATGTCTGGCCACCAAATTCCTCTCTCAGAAGGTAGGGGAGGGGACAAGGGGATCAGCTGTCCTTGACTGCATCCTGACCAAGAGGGAAGATTACATTGAAGTAGCAAGAACTTTGGGAGAAAGTGGCCATGTACTACTGGAATTCATATTTTCCAGAAAACTAAATGTGACTACAGTTGAATGTGTATTTTGGGTTTCAGGAAAGTCCGTTTTAATAAGAGCAGCCTCAGGGAGCCAGGTTCACCCCAGCTTGCCTGAATGAACATTCAGCTTAAACTGAGAGTCACCCTGGAACTGCAGACTCTGCCCTCATCCATCGACCAGAGAACCAGGGGCCCAGGGAAACTGCATCCTGAATCTGGCGAAGAACATCACGGCAAACGAGAGACTAGGCTGGCTCTATAGGTTAGCCACAGAAGGAGCGGCTGCACAAAATTTGCTCCACCCCTTGCTGCCACAAGCAACACTTATTAGAACATTGTAACTAAAAACTAGCGCCAGAGTTTGCTTCTTTCCTCCTTCTTCCCAAGCGCTTTTCTTTTCATGGCATGCCTTTCACTCTAAGCCTGAGGGCAGGTGCTGTTTCTGAAGGTCCCCCTTACAAAACCCTTCTCAGCCGAACAGCCAAGTCAGATTGTGCAGGGATTCCTCGCAGAGGCGAAGCAGAACCCCAGCCCCTTCCATTCTGCCCTCTTCTTTGGCAAACAGCATCCAGATCAGGCTTGCTCTAATGAGGCCGGCATATCGGTTTACTCCAAGCAGAGGCCTTTCTTATATGACCCTCCGCCTACTCTGGTCAGGCCTGTAGTAGCTGCTACACCCCTGCCCAAGAGTAGCATGCCAAGAAGAAGTGGGGCTCCGGTCAGCTCTCCCAAGAAGCCAATCCTGTGCACATGTAGATGGGATGCACAGAGGAAGCCTGTGAAAACCACCGGAAAAATGGCTGGATGATGCTTCCACCATGAACATGCTTGCAGCCATTTCAGCGCTGCATCTGGCTCCAGAAGCCGAGTCCGTTCCTTCAGTTACACTAGCTGCTAAAGTCCTGTTTTGTTCTTGGTCCTCTCTCACTCTCTGTGAGGTCTCAACTGGAGGCCAAGGAGTCCTTGCTGAAATTCATTTGCTTGGCGACAAGAACAAAGAGAACAATTTCATTACTGTAGCCACTAAGTGTTTGCGGCTGCTGGCCAAAATGGGAATCTTCCAGTTACTTTGGCTGAAGACCTACAGAAATATTTCTGAATATTTAGAGTTTATTAGAAGTTAGTCAGCCTGCTCTATATTTTTTAAATAAGAAAAAATAGCAAGGGCTGAAAGTCCCACTGAACTCATCAAGTCCCATGGATATAAATTAGTTACAACCTGTTCTACTGAATTAAATGGACTTAAGCACAGTTGGTTTTTTTTAAAGATTTAGGCAAAGTTTTACACACACTTTGGTAGTCTATAGTATACAAAGCAATTGCTGGACTGATAACAAAGATACTAGAGCTTGAATCCCGACTTAGCCATCTAACTTGGTGACTGACCCATTCTTTGCATATACCCTACCTCACAAGATGGGTCTGAGCTTAAAATTTTGATGCCTGAATTAGCATAGTAAAGGTTATGCAAATATGGATTTCGCAGGATTATGGATTTTGCAGAAACAGTTACATTTTGACCAAGAGATTCTGACCTTTTCTGTGACATTTATTCCCAAAAGGTCATATGTAAGAAGACACAAGGCAAGCCCAGGTCCATTGCTGCAAAACTGCTTTATACCACCACCCAAAAAATGAGGCAGGGGTGCAGAAACGCTATGTACCAACACCCATTTTCTAGACTTGGATATTCTTTACAGCCTTGGCTGACATTTTGGGAAGGATACTGAAACGAATGAATGAACAAGTAAGCGAGCAAATGAACGTACGCACGTTAGCTTAAAGTAAGTAAATTCTGTCAAATCAACAGTTATTTTTATATGACTGTACAGTAAGAAGGCATTTCCTTGCAGACACATAATTCCCCCAGTGGTTAGCTTAGAAGCTGCTGTTTCCACACTGCTTTGTGGTTGTGATTTGCCACGACACTATCCACTGCAAGCCTTCATAGATTTTTACAATGATCTCCTGGTTATGTGAAACTCTTGGTCCAAAGCTCAAATGACCGCAGATTCCTGGAAGATGATTTCACTGACTGGCTGCATGAGGAAACGCTTGCAAGCGTTCCTGCTCAGAAAAAGATCCCCGTCCAGTTTGCTACTGCATTTCCCAAAGAGCCCACCAGTTTGTCACTGCCTGTTCTCACAGCGGAGACCGTGTAAAAGAGGTACGTGTATCTCCCTGCAGCCTCTCTCGGGCATCCTGCCCGGGAGATTCTGGCGCTTGTTGTGGCAGAGCGACTGCCATTGTTTCACTGTAAGAAGCACCTTGCCTCTTCAGGTGGAAGAACCACTGCAGCAAAAATGTCAAAGGAAAACATCCATTCCACTCTGGGATACTTGTCTCCATGTGTAAAATGTTTCTTGGCATACTGGGTTTGAGCTTTTGGGAGGGATCTGTTTTAAGCTAATATCCTCCACAGTTTGCAAAAGAATCCATTAGGCAGTGCTCATCCTCGGAAATAAAATTGCAGCAACAACCTCAGGTTGGGCAGGGGCCAAGGCTGGCTCTGAACACATCGTGCTAGCTCAGGCGTGCAAGACCTCCTGCAGTCCCAGGGCCAAATTCTATTTTGGGGAAGTGTTCGCTGGCCTCCTTCCAGTGGAGGGCGGGGTTGAAGGCAAAAGGAAGGGCCAAGAACATCCATATATTTTAGACTAAACCTCTCACTGCCAGGAACTAAGCCTTGGGAGAAGCACTGCAGCTTTTTCAAATTACTCAACCAGATCAGAAAAGCACCAGATGACTGACGGCTGGGCAGATGGGGTGGGAAAGGGGCATGACCATGCGGGGAACGGAGGGCTAGACTGGGATTTTAGGTGAGCTGGATTTGGCCCTCAGGGCTGATGCTCTGCACTCTCTACACTCTTGGTAGCAAAATATGAAAGTAGAACTTGCTCACAGCCCAAGAAAGTACTAGAAAATACTGCTCCTGACCTAGAGAGGAAGGGCAGATAAATATTTAGATGTTTGTCACTGTTGGTAGTAAATCCTCTGTATTAAAATGTTATCACTACCACTTCCAGCACAGAAACATTGCAGTGGCCAGTACTTGATACTGTCCACTGATCTGACCAGACCATTTCAATTTATTTTATTACTACTGATGTCAGTGCTGCTGCTGTTCTTGCTATTATTACAACATTAAGTTTATACTAAACGCTTTCATCAAGCATCATTGCAGATTCAGCACAGCATATCATAAGCTTGATGAGTAAGCTATTTACCCAAGAGGAATGACAATTTTATTTTGAAGTAACATAAAATAAGAACTCTCTGCTGTCAAAATACAGAAAGAAGAAAAAAAAATAGATGAGGTATTTACCATCTCTAATTTATCTGCTTTGAGACGAACTGTGGGGTTTAGAGAAATCTTCCTTCTTTGTGGTCCATAATCATCACTCCAGGTGGGGCCAACAGCTAGGAGACAACAGGTTGCATATTAATTGGAAAGCTAATTGGATTTTTTTTTTCTGCTGAAGGATGTGTTCTCAACTCCTGCTGTTCAAACAACTTGAGCTAATCATCTGAATGCTAGAATTAACTCCAATGTTTATTATTTCCCCCACTCTAAATATTAAGCAAGACAATATTAAAATGTTTATTAAAGATCTCCAACAGAAACATAGATGCTGCTGAACTACTGGTTGCAACTCTTTGTACTCATCCACTGAGATACAAGAGGATAGGTGACTAAACTAAAGCAAAAAAGCTCCAGCGTAATTGGTAAAAGGTGTTGCAGGACAAATAGGAATTACTGAAATCACAAAGGTCATTTTATAATTGAGGCACATGGCTTACACCTGTGACACCTCATTTCAAGAAGACACCTAAAAGGAAATCAGAGAGGGGCTGGATTATCGATGCCTTTACAGATACCTTTGACATGCTTTGTCCTTTGTTAAGTCTCAGGCTGTGATTCAGCAACACGTATCCAATCATTTCTTGCGGGGAGCATTTCATTTTGGACAGAGCCTCCTGCCAAGTCACCAAACTGTTTTTACTGGTGCATCCCCAAGTTTTGTCCAAAGGGTAGGTGAGGACCGCACAGTGTATGGGAACATGGGTTGGTCCCCCTCACTCTGCCATGTTGTGTGTTCTTTTAAGACAGAGGCAGCCACAGGTAAAAGAAGGATGGAAAGACCGAAAAGTGCTGTGGATAGGTGAGGAAAACAACTGGACAGAGAACTGGATGCTATAAGCAGTGCTAAACAAGGAGTCCTGAGAAAAGGAAGGTGGGCAGGTGGAAGAGAATTTGCTGCCTCAACACGGGAAAGTTGCATGCAGGTCAGTCAGAGATATGTTATCCAACGCTGTCGGATATGGAAGATTTCCATGACCAGTCTGACAACCCGGTTTCCCTGAGATGAGGCAAAACACGTAGATGCAGCCTTTCCATGCAGGACATGTGCTGGCCTCCCTGCCCACAGGCCTAGCTACAGATCCAACTTTTTGTCCCAAGCTGCTGCTCTCTCACCTTGGCAGCAGCACTTCCATTTTTCTTGTCCTCAGGGAAGCCCACGGGCACTGTTCCTTCTTTGTTATCTTTGGCAAAGGCCAGCCTGTGCTGCTCTTCTCTCTCTTACCTGCAGGCAACAGCCACCCTCACCAACCACAGCAAAGATGGAGCCAGCCGGCTTTGTTCTTGCGAGGCGTGGTTGCTAGGGTGAGCGGGCAGCCAGCTTGGCTCGCTGTGCCAGCAGGGATGCAGCACAACAGGAACAGCACAGTCTGGCAGGAAGCTCTTCCAAGACAGCTGCTTGTGCAATCAGAGCTGGGGGCCCACAGGGGCTCAGGAGCAATCATTGCAGGGGCGTCCCTCATTCAGAGAGTAACAAGGGAACTGGCCTCAAGAGACAAGAAACCAATGCAGAAAATGGATTAACCCAGAAAGGCAGGAGAGGACAACCTCTAATCCAGCCTGTGCTGAGCCCCGATCTGGCCTATGGAGGGTTGAGCATCCTCCATGGGCCCCACTTTGTGCCTTCCACGGACACACTCCTCTGGGGAAAAGCATCCCCATTAGAAGGGGAATGGTGCAAAGGGGAACCTCCGTCTTACCTTGAGCAGAGGTGGGCGATAAGCTGGAGATTCCCCCACATTAGCTGAGTGCAAGTGCCAGCCAGCCCTCTTCCCCCACTGCCCATACCCTGATTGGGACGTGGGTGGCACAGGAAGGAGTGGCCAGACTTCAGGAAATGTTCTCTTTAAAAAGGTGCTGGGACAGAAGCTGTCAAGGGAGGGGGCAGGGCTCCATGGGAGATTCCCACCCTATGGGCCATGGTCTGGTTTACAACCTTTGGCTTGTTCTGGACATGTAAACCAGCCCATGGACCAAAACTGTCTGGCCAAGGTGCAGAATGGTGAGCAGGTGACCTTCTTGGAAACTGGATGTGCTTGCAGTCTTGGGTGCAGCTCTAATATTTCCAACAGTCAATGCAGAGGGTGGGGAGAAGCCTCCTTCCCTATTTTAAAGTATTTCCTGAAGTGCCAGATGCTGATCAATGGCCCAGTTTTACAGCCTGCTTAACACTATACAGGTGTTTTGGTCTCTTCCCCAACTCCTGATACACTCCAGCTGTAAACAACAGTGTGCAGAAAAACTCACCCAAAATTCTTTCTTCCCTGACACTCACATGATTGTGCACCCCCTGGAAATTTTTCACTGGGAAGCACTTTGAATGAAAATTAAGTGTAACTCTGCCGCCATGCTCTTACACATAATTTTTCAGGGATTTAGTTATTCAAAACCAACACAGCAACCATTAAGTGCCAACATCAGATGTTGCAGTAAACTTGCAATGCAATTTGACTTTCTGCTGCGCAGTACTTAATTTTTATAAACATATTCCAATGTATATGCTTTTTCAGAGAGAGCTAAGGATAGAGAAGCAGATGCAAAGATAACCAGACCTTGCATGTTGCACTGATGGTATGTGTGCTTTTGTCTCCTGCACTTCTGGGATAAGAGAAGCGGCCCAGGTCTACACAGGAAGAGTTCCTGTGGCAGGTCAGTCTCACACTACCTTGCCCCAGTTTCTTGCAGCGTGTGAAGCGCCAGTGGGGCTGTGATTCAAGAACCTATCTGGGTGCTCTGGAGTTTGAGTGTAGCAGGAAGCTAGGGTGCAAGCTGAACTCGCTGGCATTCACCATTGGCATACTGCTGAAGAGGGATGCCATCTCGCTTCCAAAACAAGGGCATGGAAAGCACAGCATTGTAAGGGGCATCTGGTGAGCGGGAGAATGTCTTTTAAAAACGCACCAACTATCTGCTCTGATTATGTGTCATACAGGTTTATGAGGCTCCCCTTTGGAGGAGACATGTCGCCCCATCGAGGGTGAGCCATTCCACCTGCTCCCCACCCCAGAGGCTTTAAAAGCAAGGCAGGAGCCGCAGTTTGGCAGGCCCTGTCTCAGGGGAGAAGCACATAAATTTGTTGCAGTTGCTTTTTTTAAAAACCTCATTTTACGCTTTGTATGGAAATGTTATGCTATCATACTTTTGTAATTTTGTACATTTTATGATGAAAAAGACTGCATAACATTTATACCCTGCCTTTCTTCCCCTTGCAAGGATCCCAAGGAGGCTTACACAGTTCTTCTCTCAGTTTTATCCTCATGAAAACCTGTGTGTGTCTAGCCCAAAGTCACTCCATGAGTTTCATGAGCAGGGAGTAGAACCCAGATCTTTGGAGTCCTAATCCAGGACCCTTAACCACTATGCCACACTGGCTCTCAGTTGTTGCTAACTGCTCAAAGAGCTTAGGCTCTTGGGCAGTGCAGAAATGAAATCAATGCAAAGGAAAGAAATGAAATATAAGACGAACACTTTGAATTTCCATCACAACTTCAACCATCAACCATCTGCCTCCAGAATATTCCCCAGACAAGCATAAATTTCTTCAGGATTGCAGTCAGCATAAGCAAAGGCAGGCTACAACTTATGATTTAAAAAGGGAACCTGCAGAGAAACATGCCTATCTCCAATTTCAGCACAGCAGGCAGCATACAACTCTGGGGGTTTTCTGATTAATTACCAAAATGCAGTGGGTCTTTGACACTTCGTACTTAGGTGTGCATCACACAAGTACAAAATGCATGTGACCTGCACTCTTGTGAACGTGCTCTTTCCAAATATGCTGGAGCAGTGATTGGGAGGTGAAATGAGGATTTACTACTCTCTGTGGTCAGGAGCCAAATCCCTGCCTCCTTCCCAAATTGTTATTTTTACTCTGGCAAAATGTCAAAACAAAATGCAAGGCCCTTTAATATACATTTCTGTCCCTAACAGACATGTGCCAAATGTATTTATGTGCAGAATGCTATAGCTCTGAAAAAGCTTAGTTTCCATAGCAACTGGTTCTTGATGTATGAGAGTCTTCACTTAGCGCTGTCATATCAGTGCATTGATTACTCAAACTATATGCTTGGCAGGTTCAGGGAAGCCTTTCCACATCAAGTTGTCTGTCGAGGAACCTCAACATGACTGCTATACGGCCCTGGTAGATCACACTGTTGGAGCATACCCCATGGGCCCATTCAGGGCTTCAGCCGGGCCTACTGGATTGGATGATTCACCACAGGAATTACAGCTTCATCCCAGAATATGGACACATGTGTGCTCAGTGTTGTGGTGTTGGGCAAGCTTGTTTGTGCCAGATATTTGCAGGAGGTCCCAAATTCCCTGGAACATACTTGGAAAATGATGTATTCACTTATTCCATTCATACACCATGTTTCCTTCATTATAGAACCCTTGTGGTGCTCCTGAGCTTTCCAGATGGTCTCCCATCCACACCAGCCATGTCCACATGTGCTTGGCTTCGCAAGGTTCCTGCATTATGTGCTGTCCGAGTCTGAAGCAGTCTTCCCACATGGTGCCCTCCACATATTCTGGCCTACTGCTTCCATCAGTGTTGTGACCAAGCTAGGGGTGTTGAGAGCTGTAGTTCACATTGAAGAAGGCTGGTCTAAAGGAGCATGATACAGCAGCTTTTCTGAAGCTAAAGTTTAGAAAAAGGGTGAACAGAAAATAAATCTCCCAATGTTTAAGACATCAACTTCCTGAATCCCCTGGCAGTGCAGCCAATGATCAGGAATGCTGAGAGGTAAAGCCCAAAACAACTGGAGATTGACTTAATGGTCACCCCTTGTTTAGACAAAGTCTTGGGACCTACAGCCCCAAATGAGAAGCACATATGCCATTTTACTGTTATGGCTTTGTAAGCAAATGTTACAGGCAAGGGCACTCTGTCTTCATTCAGCTGTCTCATACAATGGTCAAAGAGCTGCTACACTGCTGGTCAGTCATTCATTCTAGTTTTTCATTCACATTAGAAAGAATGGCCCATATACAGCCTTCTTCAATTTGAAAGCCCTTTGTACGTTACTCACATGAAAGAGTAATAACAGCCACCCCCCTCCAATGTTGAGAAAAGCAAAGAAATGAGCATTTACCCCCAACAGACACATCAGAGGTATTGTTGTTTTCGGTAAATGTTGAAGATTGTTCTCTCTTCTTGAATCCTGCTTTTGTCTATGAAAGGAAAACATAACATTAGGAAGTGCCATTTACTAAAGTAGGTCAGCAGCCAGACCCAAAACATGTGTCATCAAAAAATACTCATGAACACAAGAAACACTGGCTGATTCTGGAGAAAAAGTGCGCCCTTTGGAAGAGTGGACTGCGTCGATCATTTCTCAACTTGTACCAGAATAATTAGTATGCCTGCCAAGTTCATTTCAGTTCTGCTCCAGTCGCTTCTCCCATGATCACTTCTACCCTGACCTGTCTTCACTGAGCATGGTGGTGCGACCACGCTGGAAGGAACGGCATTCACGGCACCCAGAGAGAGCGCTACATAGCAAGCCTGCTGGCGGAGAGCAACTCATTCTACAGGCTGGCCCAAGAACCCCTCACCAAGCCACACTGGCAGCTAAAAACAGTGGGGAGAGTGTGTTACAAGAGATACATGGGCAAGCTTGACAGGCCCCACAGGGTTCATAATAGGACATCCTCAAGTCAGGGCCTCTATGAGGAATTTGCTCTTAGCAACTTGTCAGATTCCAAGTCCAGAAGAATCTTTAGTAGATGTAATATACATCTGCCAACTCCATCTCTCATCCTCTCCAGCCTGGCTTAGTTTACATCCAATTTCCATTGCAGATTTGCACTGAGAGTTACTGCAGTGGTGGTCCCATGTACAGGAAATCCCGAACAGACACTGGGCATCATTTTTTACCCAAAGACCCAGAGAGCATTTTACATGGGGCACTGCACATCCTGCCAGAGGTATCCATCTCCTTGGCTCCTTTTAACAAAAAGATCCCCACTGAGAATGCCACTGTTTCCAGCCACTGCACTGTTCATGCCTTTCAAAGGACTCTGCCTTCCAAATTACCATGCCGGTCTATTTCATGTACGTACGTGGGTTCTGCAAACCCTTAAGGCACGCTTCTCAAATCCAACTTTATTAATGAATGAGCAAAGGTGCCATTTTGGCATGGGTTAGAATAGTCCTTGTCCAGCTACAGTGAAGCCTGACAGCAGCCCTGAGCATGGACCTGGCCACAGTGGATCCCAGTAACCTCCTGAGAGAAGTGGCTGTCCACACCATTCTCCAGTCAGATAACTCTGCCCCTTCGCCCACCAACCTTCTCCAGTTTCAAAATGCAGGGGCTGCAAAGTTATACACTGGTTAAAGAAATCTGCCACTGAGTGACTGAAGAAGTTACTGCAGGTTTGAACCATACGGGCACATTTAAAGGAACTGAAGTTAATTAACACATTTAAAAGCAAAAGGAACCTGAGGGGCACATCAGTAAGGTCCTCTGAGCATGCATCCCAATTTTCAGGTGTGCAGGTTTCATGGACTTACAACTGGGGTGTTGACAGGAACACAGGCGCTCATCCTCTTTACACACACCAGGATGTTTTGTTCCCTCCTGTGTCTGTTCTCTGAGTTTTATTTATTTTATTTATTTATTAAAACATTTTTATGCCGCCCCATTCGCCGAAGCCTCGGGGCGGCTCACATCACTAAGTTAAAATAATTATAATATAAATTAAAATATAAATATTAAATTAAAAATACAACAATACAATATAAAATAAGCCGCCCTGGCCAGCCCTGGCCAGAGTTCCAAAGAAAGCTTACCAGAGATTAATTCCGCATGATTCCATTGTGCTTAGAATGGCCATCCAGGTTGGAATTAACTGTAAGAGGGCCATAAGGGAGACCCTGGAGGAGCTGAAGCTTTTATGAACCAAAGTAAGGTGTGCTTGTGTGTCTCTGCACAACTGTGTAAAGACAACCCTGATACCACCCAGGCAATCCAGACAATTTTCAGCCACTTTCTCCATCCAAAAAATAGTCTCTTTCTGTGGGAAGTGCAAATGTATAAGCCCGGAGTGTGAATTTTTTTTTTTTAATAATAAAACAACAAGCTACCTATTCATTAGCCTCAGGTGCAACCTTATGCATGCCAAGAGAGAAAATGGTCCTAAAACACCCAGCATTTCCTGGCTAATGTGCCTAGCTGAAGAATGCTGGAAGCTGCACCATTTTCTGCCTTAACACCCATAGTACTGTGACTTTAAGCAGAATGTGAACAACTGATCAAGTTCACCAGGTCATTTGCTGTTCTCATTCTCCTCACCTACAGTGTGGGCAGTCTACAGACCTTCCATAACACCTAATGTTAAGAGCTTTAAGTGGAACCCCTGACAAAAACATGTGAAGGGATAGCAATGCCATTACATTAAACATGAAATCCGGTGCTGTCTGGTTGGCAGTGCTGAGCAGGAAAAATGGTTTTACAAGTGTTAAGACTTGAATTGCTTCGTTTTCCTCTTTCTTCCTCACTTCTGTGCTTTTGTATCATGTCTATTTGAGAGCATACATCATTACTTTAGACAGCAAATTGCCTCATGAGCATTTGCAGGAAGTCATACATGAATGCAGTAAGCAAACCAAGCCGTTTTCAGAAATCCAATCCAGGTGCGGTCTAGGGCAGATCACTTCCCGCAACTTTGTTTATTTTTTAATAAAATAGGAATCATTCCTATATCCATGAAGACATTTTTTGTATGAATGACAAACACCATAACGTTCTGTGCTTTCAATGTCTATTTTGCACCATCAGGAAGGCTAACAATGACCATATCCTAAATAATGACATTTCATAAGGACATGGAACCTCTTCCTTGATGCCTCTAGAGGTGGGTAAAAAGGGATGCTTACCACATTCTGAATGGACAGCTTTGAAACAAAGTTCTCGTTAGGAGACAAAGCTTGACGAAGCGCTGATGGAGAAGGCGGCTGTGTGCACGCAGCCGGAGCTATCAGACTAGAGCAGGGCTGCATACTTTCTGCTTGACTGGAAGCAGTTTCATGTCGAATGAAACTGATCTCCCAAGAATTTGATCTGTAAAAAGAACAAAAAAGGTTGCCATACAGGTATTACATGCTGCATTCTTTCTGGAATAATAAAGACATCTTTGTAGTATTTCCCCTATCTAAATACTGCCAGTGGAAAATTTATTTTAGCAAGTAAATAAAATGCAGGGGAACGGCTTTTGTTGCTGTCTGCAGAGAAAGACCTGTTTTAATTAAAAATCTGTGAAGTGGAATACCTTTCATAAGCCAACTGAAAGTTCACCAGCATGTGCAAGCTTCCAAGATCAGGAAAGACGTTACAAAAAGCAGGCCGATGGTGGTGAGGAAATCAGGGAGGAGGGGGAGGCTAATTGGACCCTGCAGTCAACATCCAGATAAAGTCAGATCTGGCAGTCTGGCACATTTTGGGAATCTTCATGTGGCCTGACAGAGATTACATGACATGGACTTCAGGATTTTTCTTATGACCAACATGGCTGCCTTTGTTCTTTTTATTTTTTAGTGGCTAGGGGATGAAAATGTTAAAATTTGTTAGGGCTGTAAGTTGTTAGTGTGCTACCAGTACCCCAGAGCCTTTGGCATGGTTCAGACCCCAAACAGACATATGCTACCTCCAGAAAATGGTAAACTGTTGATCAAAGTAAGCTCTGTATAAATCTGGGGAGGGCCATAATGATTACATGATTACTTCCCAAACTGCTCCCTGCTCCATCTTACCCAAACGCAAACATCAGGGACAGCTTGTAATTTGACACAGCTATTTACAGGTAGGAGCCCTTTGTACGGACATCAAGCCAACAAGCAAGGAGTTCTTTTTTAACTGCTCCTTTACACCCTTTTTTAGCATTCTAATCAACACACATCTAAAATTACTTCTGCAGTCATGAGAGCTAGAGTCAAAATGACTGCATCTAAAGTAGGAAACTAGACGGATGTCAGGTGCAATGGTTTGCGGTCTCGTCTCATAATACAGTTAGTTACCTCAGTTTTGTTCTGTTTATTAAACTTTTTGCCTCTTCATAGGTGACTCCAATCAATGTTTCCTTGTTAATGGATACAAGCTGGTCGCCGGCTCTCAGTCGACCATCCTAACAAGAACAACAGCACTTAGTATCTGTTGCCACAACTGGTTCAAAGAGGTCAACACAAATATTTGATTTTCAAGGATAGTGGGGGCGTTCAATCCGCCAAATTAGAAGGGAGATGCCTTGTGAGCGGGGATTGGCTGAGATCAATTTGCTAGAGTGGAAGATGTAGTCTTTGTTCTCTGGAGTCTGCCTTTACACAGAGAGGGTAGAGGGTGGCATACACCATTGTACTGCTCAAGAGGGTGGCTTCTGGCCCCTTTGTTCTCCTCCCCGCTCACATCCCTACAGGGTGCTGTCTCAACGCATTTGCCCCAAGCGGGATCTGCTTTTTGCAAAACATTGCAACCCTTTGCAGTGACCTGCAGCATACAGAACATGCTGATTGCAGGTTATATAATGTACCCACTGTGAACAGCTATCATAGAAGCAATATTTTTATAAAAAGCTGCACAAGCAAGCCAGTACTTATCAGTTCCAGGTAGCTGGGATTTGCTGCAAACAAGCACCCATCTCCACAAAAGTGCCTGCTTTTTAATATATGCACTAATTGTGTTTGCAAGAGAATGGAACAGGAAAAGTAAGTGCGTGTGTGTGTGAGGGGGGGATGCAATGCACCCCTCCTGTGAACCATAATGTCCAAGCATGCTCGAATACACCTACAAATTACCTTGTGGACAGACTGCACATCCATAGGAGGAATTCTAGCCGAGCATTCTCCCTGATGTGTTAAGTTCTCTCTGTACAGGGAGTCCTATATTTCTGGGATGGCTGCAAATGTGATTCCCCTATGGGCATTCTTAACTGGTAGAGTCCCAGGGGAGCTGTACCATGTACTATGTTTTCCTGAATATCTACTGTGAACTGACAATTCTGCTCTAGGCACATGCTACAAGCTAGATCAGTCCTGTTACTTACATGCAAAGGCTTATTGGAAATGCAAACTATGGAACAGAAGCCATGTTTTAGGTAACAGCTATATTTTTTTCACCGCTGTTTGTTAGTTGCGTGTGCATTGTATCAAAACGATGAAGTCTGTGACTAAAGGGGTTGCAGTGAAATAGACAAGACAACCCTGAGGAAGCGAGAGGATGAAAAAGAAGGAATAAGGCAGGACTGGATGCACTGGCAAGATGAGGATTGCGTTAATATCTAGGTGAACTGTTTTGCTGCTCCAGAACTGTTTCTTTAAGCAGATATGACAGTGGAATTTTACTGGGCATAAAATTGGACACAGATGGTAGTTTTGTTTTAGAATTAAGCCACAGACAGTCTGCAAGAAGTTTCTGTACCAGTTAATCCAGCTTTGAGAGGGATTAATTTGTATCAGAGGGGTGGGATAAGAGATCTGGTTTCAACCACTACACATACAACCTGGGTGAACATTCAGATCAGGAATGGACAAACAGATATCTCTGTTTACAACACATGCCACATTTCAAGCAAATGGGAGTAGCTGCAGAGGGGGAGAATATGACCAAAACCATTGCAGTCACAGCCTGCTGAAACCAGTTAGGAACCATCTGGAAAGGCTTCTAATATTTCCATTTTGCCAGGCTCTACATTTCAAATTCAAGGGTGCCTTCCTAGAACCCTGGTTTCCCTGAAGTCTTGAGTGGGCTTTACAGATAAGGTGAGAATGACAGAAAATTCAGCCCACTAGGATTCTTGCCATCATCAGAATTCTGGACTTGCCAAATTCCTAGACTACTTTTAATGTTCAGAGTATTTTAAAGTAGTGCAATATTGGAGATCATAACTATACCCTTTTTACTGACACAGAACTGACCAACAGTCATGGTCTCTGGTACAGGCAGGACTGGAACTCTATGGTATATTTCAAATTCCATCTGGCTGGACAGAAAATGTCACCAGGGAGACAACACAAGGAATGCTCTTCCCTTCTCTCTCAAGGTGGCACCATGAAGATACTTTGCACCAGAAGCAAGACATTCTGGTAAGCTAAGGCTGTCTCAAGGAGATGTAAGGTTGTGAGCATGCACTAATCAAGCTACATGAAGCAAATAAGAGTAGCTAATCTACTTGGAGTGGGGAAGAGAGGTGGTTGGAAGGCCAGCGTCAGTGATGTGGGTTGCAGCAAGGACCCAGGGTTCAAGCAGCCGAGAGTTTGGATAAGAGAGCAGTGAGGTGGAAGGGGAAGAAAAGCAGGGGGAAGTATGCATACTAAATTCTTACTTTCTAATCTAGAAAGGGATGCTAAACAGATATGGGATCAGGCACACAAAGAAACTACTATTAAATCCCCCACATCATATAGCAGCCTTCCCTAACACATTGCCTTCCAGATATGTTGGACTACAACTCCCCCCATTGGCAATGCTGGCTGGGAGTGATAGGAACTGTAGTTTGGCATATCTGGGGAACCAACACAGACATCTGTTTCTGTGCTCCATAAGCAGATTGGCTTACATTCTTAGAGGCTGATTTAGAACTTCATCTACTCTGCCTCTCAGCAATTGCATCTGATTTGTTCTTGAGCACTCATTTGGAAGTGCAGCAAAATGCTTCTTTCTACCGAAGGAAGGAATGCTGATGCAAGTGGCAATGCTGACCCCTGGTGACAGCGGCAGCAGGCAGCACATTCTCCCTTTGAAATTTCTTCTGACTGTTTCCCTAAGGAACCGTGGGCTGTTCTTCCTGATGGAAAGGACAGCTACTTGCAAAGGAAGGATAAACCAGTGTGGATGATCACCAAAATATGCAGGTTTTCCCAACTGCTTTGTGAGGCCAGATGCTAACACAAAGCTGTGGTGCTGCTTGTGGGGAGGAGACTGAAATTGACTAGATGGGGAAGTCTGTGCATCTGTGTACTGAGCTCAGCACCAAGCGTGGGGCTGTCACGGCAAGCTGATCGCGCAGACATGAAGATGCCACCATCGAGACCAGGCCTGGAAGTAGTATGTCTCCAACAGACATGTTATAATATAATATTGTGCTCACACACACAATTATTAATTTATTATTCTTATCACTCTAGTAGCTAAATATCAATATCAAAGGAGTTTAATATAACTTGTGTTATAGCTATAGATGTGGCTAGTTTTGGGGGAAAGGAGGTTTCAAGTAAGAGTTTTCCCAATGCAGCCCGTTTAATCAGGCCCAAGAGTTTCAAAGCTCAGAACTGACTTGGTAAGGACTCACTTTGCTCTCAGTTCTTGCCTAAAGCAGTCATCGGCACTGCTGCCCGCTTCCTCTTCCTCAATGGGGATGAACCCAGTGGTGGTAAAACCTCCTGGAAGGGAAACCTTTCCCATGCAGGGAATTTCATTCCCTTCCAGGGAACCTTCTGGAGCCCTCCTGCCACAGGTGGCTGGGCTTCTCTGCCAAACATGGGTGGAATCAAAGCTAAAGGGGATGGGACCCCCCCCCACACACACACATACACACACGTGCACACCCAGAGATTTGTGTCCACAGAGGTATTAAGGTTTGGAAAAGTCTCCTGTCATCTAGTAAGACACTTTCCCACACAAAGGGGAACATCAGGAAGCAATTTCGGAAGAGCTGCAGTTGCAACAGGAATCTTCCCTTCCTGCTGTGAACTTCTCCCCCACTGCAAGTAGGCTACAGAAAAATCTCCCATTGGCTTACAGTGCCAGGGGGTGGGATTTTGCAAGGTTGAAGGAAGGGTTAGACTTCTCTTCCTCCGTTGAGAATTCGTCCAGATTCCCCCTGACCTCGACAATGAAATGGACTTCCCACTGAAATCAATGGAAGGCTTCAAACATCCTAACTGCTGCGGGAGAAGATGCAAGTCGGGGGAAGATGCTGTCTGTTGTGCGCAGAGGCTCTGGAGGCCAGAGAGTCCTCTTCCATGCCCACAGGATTTGCCACAGAGTCAAAGGATGGTAGTGGCCATGGGAAATCTAGCTCTCATGCTTCAGGGCATTTTTGCTAGGAAAATACATATTCTTTAGCTCCTGGGCAATGCCATACCCATTCACAAAGGACAACAGGCTGGTCCCACAGCACCTGGCTCCTGGCTCACCCTGGCCAGTGTGCAAAAAGCCAATCAAATCTTACAAATGCTTTCTGCCTGCCTCCAAGTGGAGTGGGGGGAGGAGGAGGAGGAGGAAGATAAAGTCTTCATTCTGGTCTTACTCAATTCTTACAACTGTGATTGCACTGGAAGCAAAGACGCAGCAACCCTAACTGTGCTCATCACTGCCAATATCAGCAAATAGTAACCATTTCACTGAAAAAAGGACTGAGAGGAGCCTGGTGATGTATCCCTGCTGGTTTTCTACCACTGCAAAGCACCGTAGATCAAATTCTACGGGTTTGAAAAGTGCTTACAATAGTTGGACAGATACTACGAGTAAGCGCGCACACGCGCACACACACACACACACACACTGCCCTGCCTCTGCTAGACCAGCCTGGACTGCATGGAAAATGAAGCACAAACAAGTCCCTCAGGCAGTTATCTACCTTATGACAATCACCTCCAGGAATAACTTCCAGAACGTACACCAAGGGGCCTTCACTCCTGTTCGTGCCTCCTACAATGTTCAAGCCGAGGCCTGTTCCCTTGGAAACGGTGATAATCTGAAACATGCTGTCACTAAACATGAAGAGAAAGCAAAGTTAGCTTCGAAAGGTCAGTGACTGAGAAAGGGAGAGCCTGTGCGAGGACTGGCTTACAGTGGGCATCTCCCTTCCTTTCTTGGAAGTATGCTCAGAGTGCCCATGGCTCTCAACAAGCAGGAGGGAAGTTGAATGAAGCAGTCCTGCCCAACCAGGAAGACTGGGGATGGAGCCTAATGCAGGTTTAATTTCATAAAGACAGATCTGCTTTGGTGAATGAAGTGACAATGCTACCTTTGGCCATCAAAGAAAGATGCCATGGAATCCCATTTGTATGCGTACTTCCGGATGGTGGGGTCCTTGACTAGCAACCGAAAGGCATTGTACAAACAAGAGGAAGCTGCCTTATATGGTGTTGTCCATCTCGTCCAGTATTGCTGACAAAGACTAAGCAGGAGATCTGCAGGATTTCCTCCCCCTTCCCTAGCCTTTCTGGAGAAAGTCTGATCCAGGTGTAAGGCATGCCCAACACCCCGAGTGATGGCCCTTCACCATACATTGTGCAGCTATTTTGTCTTTCCCTCCTTAGCAGATGTTCTTAAGGTAAAGAAACAACAGAAGAAACTGTGAGGAAAACATGAGGGGCTTATAAATGGAAGAGGATGCTGCTCCTTCCCATAAAACTTCATGTTTGAGGTAGGACAAGTGCACAATAAAAACCTCTCTTGGGAGCACTTTCTGCTCCTGTGCACATAAAAGATGGGTTTTAAGAGCTGATACCAGTACAAACACCAAAGAATGCAGAGATGTTTAGGGGTATGAGACAGCTCTCCACTGAGAAAATGGGACATCTAATGTGTCTCTCCAGAAAGGTCCAGTGATGGGTGGACTGGGTGTTTCTGCTGTGGATTCTCTGGGGTGCACATCCTCATGGAAGGCCAGGATATTTCGCTTGGGCCCAGGAAAGGAAAAGTGGAAGGGCAAAGCAACAGTGATCATATTAGGAACTCTTCAGCAGCCTGTCAAATAGGCAGAGCAGATCCTCGCCCATCAGTGGCAGCATTAAAAAGCCAGGACCTTGATACTATTCTGCCTTCAGGATTGGCTCAGAGATTATTCATTTCTTTAGAGAAAAGAGAAGGCTAAGATAAAAGAAGTAAAGGGAGACCTTAGTGAAGGGACCCCAGATCAAGGGTAGAGACCATGTGGAAGGTCCCAGGTTCAATCTCTGTCATCTCCAGTGGAGAGTGCTAGGTAGCAGGCCAGGTGAATTACTCTATACCTGAGAACCTGGAGAGCCACTGATCTTCAGAATAAACCAGGGGTGCAAAGCCTCAGATCTGGGTGCTAAATTCAGCCCTCCTCAGGGCACCAAATATGCTCTCATATTCCCCAATGGCTACATGCCCTTCCTCTAGCCCCACCCTTTTCCCAGCAATCACCAACTGTTGCACAATTTCCTAGCTTTTGCACAGCTTTCTCCTACACTCCAAAAGGCTGAAACAGCTCTCCTATTTGCTGGATCCAGGAGCTGTAAGACCTTTATGGTGAACGAGATGGGTATTTTTGGCTCTGGAATGCCAACCTCTAGATTAGAGCATTTCCAAATTGAAATGTAGTCCTTGGGTTGAAAGAGACCCAACACTCAGGGAGCAGATAATACTGAGCTAAATGGACATGCTGATCGGGAGGGTGCAAGTTGTAGGCCAACACTTCTGGTAGATACCAGGTTGGAAAAGGCTGCTGCGGGGCATGCAATGCATCCAGTCCATTTACCGGGGGGGGGGGGGACACACAACAGGTGGCAGAGGAGAGGAAACATGTGATATTATCCACAGCTAATTCACTTTCAAAGCCGTATGCATCTGTGGAGAAGTAGCAAACAGTAGAAGAAAGTAAACAAAAGTTCCTTTGATGTGACTTTCTTCAAGTTTTGGCAATGCACTGCACTAGACCTACAAATTTGCCTCCCACATGACGGCACCTGGGGTGCTTTGCCCCTTCCAGTGCTGCTGTTTCCCTCTTGAAAAACACATCTATGAAAGTTACTTTGCAGATGCTGGAAGGGAAGTTGCTGTGGAGTTCTTTCCGTGGTGCTTTGTAATCATGCCTATTGGATGTAGCAGCTGAGGGCTTGGTGACCTGGAAGACGATCCTGAAGAGGAGCCATCGGCAGCTTTGCCTCAGAGGAAGAAAGAGGCGGACAAGCAAATTACATTTTTCATAAAAGACAAATCACTTAATAAAGCCCTGGTTTCTGGGGCTGGCAGAGCTATTATATAAGTATGTAACAGAGGAAGGATCAGGAAATCTTTTTCACCAGCTATAGTGTAATTATCTGAAAGCAACGCTATCCTATTCTGTGCTTTGGTTTCCTTTAACATTGGTTGCTCTCTCGATCACACTACCATGAAACTTTTTCTTGATAGTAGTGAAAAGTCAAAGGACTGGTAGCCTGGCCAAGCTAAGAAGGTCACCCCATGAGCCTAAGCTGGGATTTAAACCCAGATCTCTCCAGTCCTACTCAAATACTCTGACCATGATTGTTCCAGAGTATTCCCTCCCAGCAACAGGATTCAAACTTATGCCATCAGAATGACTGCAGCCTGAATCTAGCTCCTTGGACCAGTCTGTAAAAATACAACATTTGGGATTTATATGCAGAACTGCTTTTATTGTGCACAGAATGGCTGCCAGCCTGCATTCAGCTGGACCTCTGGCACCCCACCAAGTGGGGTTTTTTTTATATTAGGGTTCTAGTACAGCACTCCTGCTTTCTGAATTATTCTTGTGACAACAAAGTCATAAACTATCTGTATCTTAGCTGTTCTCACTGCTTAGTATCTGCCTGCTATAAGACCTTTCTGTTTATGCAGTGAGGCATGGTTGTTCCCGTGGTAATTATGTCATGTTACCAGCTCCTGGACAAGGTACACCAAAGCAGTGAGCTAGGAAGCAGCCCTTTGTGATGGAATTCCAACCTTTCCCAGTATTTTAAAGGGACTAGAGTCCAACAACAATAAATACATAAGGGGCCAAAAATTGCTGTTTTTTTTTAAAAATATAAGTCTAACGAGAGAGAGAGAGAGAGATCTTCCAGAAACTAAAGAATGAAGAGCTGGAATATATCCACAGCTATTTTCTGTAACATGCATGCATAGATGATCAGACCTGGTGCAAGCTGGTAATTATATGATTCATAAAGGGTTCCTGGTACTGAAATAGCTCTGAGCTGTTGATTTCGAGGCGTTTTCCTCCTCTTGCTAGGTATAATTGCAATGTAGTAATTTTTAAAAAATTCTGTTCTGTAATGTGTGCATCAACCTGTAGGGGGCAATATCTCACTTCTATCATGCTCAACCCCATAAAGAAATATATATATGATTGAACAGAGATGTCCTTCCTGTCCATCAAACATCAGCCCACACATAGAATATGGGCTAAAGGTCTACCTTCCAATTCATGCAAGCAGTTTTTTACCAACCTGAAATATTAATAGAGGCCACCAGGCCACCAACCATCCTCTACTATTCTGCTACGCTGCATACTGAAGATATAACAAGCAGCTCACCAGCTAGCAGCTGTGTTGGGGAATTTCTTGCAGAGCTTGTGTTACTATGGGAGCTGCACCTCTCCATCAGGTCTAGAAATTCTTTCCTGAAACAAAACAAAAAGATGAAGGTGAAACATATACTTAGTAGGGCCGGAACATCTGGCTTGTCTGCTGGGGGAAAATCTTGTTTTCCTCAGCCTGATCCACTGCAGTGGACATCTGCACCAATGTTTCTCTTACTCTCAGCCCACTAGAAATGGTGATGTAGAAGTAAAAACTTTAGGAAGATGGAACTTGGTAGTATATAGCAATACTATCAAGATGTGTTGGTCTACACTCCATATATACTGGGGATGCTGGCATTGTAGTGCAACACATCTGGGAGGCATCAGGTTGAAGACTGCTACAACACCTCCTGAAGCCGTGTAGGCCGTACGCATCATGGCTGGGGTTTTGCAGTTGCTCCTCCCTGCAGTGCAGGCTGATTCCGTATTACATAAGGTAGCCTGGCCTCAACTGCAGGAGTCAGATCTGCTCAGATCCAGTCCTTGAAGCACATACCTTGAACAGGAGTGTAAAATAGCTTGCGTTCTTGAAGCCACTGACCCACTGAAAGGCCTTTTGGCCTGCAAGTGGCAACTCGGAAGTGAGCTTGGCAGGGCATTCAATCAGGCCTAGAAGCTGTGCTGCTCCCACACTTACCAGGGGCTTACAAGTGCTGCTCTGCTCTTCAGAGCCCCTGGCCAGATCAGCTTGGGAATTCTGTTCCTATCTGCACTGGCACCCATAGACAAATTCCCATCGATCCACCGTCCATGCTGGCTGTTCCCTCTTCCCATGGCTAATCCTTACGTTCCTGTCATCAAAGCAATACATTCTGCAGAAGGTTTTGTAAAAGCCTGGTAGACTGGGCACAAGGGCTGCACTGATGAACGGAAAAGCTTTCCCCCATTCTCTTCTACCATGAATCTGCAGAAGGCCCTTCACTCTAGAGGTGAACCTGACAAAGGCTTTCAAAATCCTTCATCTCTACAGTGAAAGGGCAGCTTCCCATTTGCTTGGGGCTGAACTTTCTACACATTCTAAAGACCGTGATCTAAATTTTCAGAGATACGTGCACAGGGGCTGAAAGTATAGAAGAGCAATGTCTGGGTCCCCAGGTGCTGGACTGCAAGCCCCATCATCCTTCTCCACTGGTGATGTTAGCTAGGGCTGATGAGCATTGCAGTCCAGCAACTTCTTGAGGGCCACACATTCCTCATCCCCGCTTTAGTCCCTGCACTATGATGCCTGACATTGCAAAAGCTAGTGCAAGCAGCCAGTGCTAATTCATACATGCATGTGAATGTAAAGCAGCAAAAGGCATGAGCTGGTCTGTCGTGTGCAGCTGATGCACAATTGCCCCTTCCAACAGATGCTGCTCAAGAAAGCAGTGCTATCCAAGAGACTGCAGGCTTTTTGTGGATATGCAAGAAGGTGGTGAGAAAATGAAAGGTTTGGTTTTCTGCATTCCTGTAAGGCTGGTTGCACCAAAATGCCTCTTAAGCTTGTTGTTGCTTGATCAGGACAAAGCAGTAAACAATGCTTGCAGCCAGCTGCATCAAAAGGAGATTCTGCTCATTTCCTCATATAATTCCCACAACTCTGTGCTTCTGTGCACCTTCTAAGGTGTAATTGCTGTTTATATGCAAGTTGTTTTCTCTGATTTCCTACTGCACAGCTCTGAGGTGCTTTCCTGCTCTGCTTGCAGCCCAGGAATGCCGACCTAGTTTTCTCTAACCATCTTGAATAATTAAAGTCCATAAGCTTCTGCATCATTCCACAAGACTTTTGCAGTGAACAATATTAGACTCTGTCTCGACAATTTGCCTTTGGTGTTTTAGAAACTGCACTGGGGAAACCTTTTCTTAATCTAGCCAAGCTGTTCAATGCCTTGAATCCACACTTACAAAGCCCAAGAGGCAGCATCCAGCTGGGTCATTCTGCCCACACAAATGATGTTGGGCTACCAAAAACTCAGGTTCAGAACTATGCAAGAGGAGAATTCAAAGTTTAATTTGTGCAGGTGATTGTATATTACACTTGCACAATTTGTTCTGGCTCCATATTTTGTGTGTGCAAGCTGCTGGGCCACCAGTTGTGTCTTACAAACTGCCTGCACAACCATTTTCTGTGACTGTGATGCACAATCACTTGTGCAATGGAAAGATTCAGCAGAGCGGAGTTTGCAGGCTGACATCTCCGAATGCTGCCCAATGTGCCCTGGCTACTGGCTCCCTCTCCCAACCCACATCAGCCAAGGAGAGCCTGCTCAGTGCACTTTCCTTCATGGAAGTCGGGCCCACATGATCGCAGGACAGAGACTGAAGCTGGAATCCCGCTTCCTTCTACCAAGGAGTAGGCTTCACTGAACTCAAGGGTGCTGAGTTGTAAGTAGGCATGCACAGGATTACACAGCCAGTGGTGGCATCTCCAATATGGTGGGAAGGGGTACCCAGTCAAGCCTGCCAGTGCCCAAACTTGAAGGTGCTTGCAAAAGACTCTGCAAAAGGTTATTAGGCAGTGTTCCAGTCTAAAACATCCCGTCTTTGACTGTGCTGGTTAGTGCTAACAGGAGTTGTGGAGCAAAACATCTGGAAGACACTGGATTGTTCAATCATCCTAGGTATTCTTGTTCTCTAGGTTTCTGTGGATTAATGCAGTTGGTTTACTTTAAACTAACTTTAAATGCAGGGAGAAAGGAGGACAGAAATATTTTAACGGATTGTATGGTTCTGCTAGAGGGTAAAAGAGGGAGAATATGTAGAGAACTTTCTCTATACAGCACTTTCTAAAAGAGCACATTTCCTTTCACTCAACCACAATATAACATAATAATAGGAAATGCAGGCTGATGGAAATTGTTGTCCAAAACATCTGGACACCCAGTTGGCAAAGGCTGATCCAGACTGTCAATAAGCACCATGATTTTCCATGGCTTACTTTTATATTTCTTGTTCCAAAGGCAACATTTGAGGGAAAAAATTCAATTCCAAAGTGACATTTCTACAAAGACAGTAATGGCAAGTTCAGAATAAAACTTGTTGAAAACACATGTGCAGTATAAGAACACTTGAATGTGTTCCATAAATTTTAAATACACTATTGTAGTTTAATTTTCTTGATGCACAAAATGAATCTTGCACATTTAACACAGGTCTATTTTTTTGCTTTGATCAACATGCTCAGGAGCTTCCATTTCCATCTTTCCAATTGTTTTCTCCAAGTAGCCTATGAATTAGTTTGTGAAATTAGCTTCCAATAATATTTTCTTCAAAGGAAATGAATCTCAGAAGGGGAGCCAAGCTTGGCTACAGGAAAAACTGCTTTGAAGGGGAGGGTTTTTGAAGGGGGAATTGGCAGGCACAGGAAGAAGCAAGTGCCCATCCTGCTCACACAAATTGGCCACGCTGTGCAGGAATGACTGAAGATGTGGTCCAAACTCATGTGGGGAGCATCAAGTTTGAGAAGGCTGTTCTATAGGCTTGGAGAAATCTAGCATTTTCTTACTTTGCTTCTTCGTCCCTCGCAACAAGTAAGGACACGTGACTTGTTGCTGATGCCATTCGCAGTATGCCAACAGCTCTGCAAGACTGGAACAACAGTTAAATGCTACAAGAAGGTGCTGCAGGGGCTCTGCTATCATCTCTACAAAGCAATGCATACATGGCAAAAATATTTTTGGCACAAGAAAGTCATGTTTCTAAGAAGGTTTGCTTGGAAGCATGTTCCGCTGAAAATCCCATGATGGTCAATAACTAAATATATCTAAATTGGAAGTGTCATGAAGCAACCCGTTTATGTTATAACAATAGAATATGGAATAAATTATTTTGCATGACCTTTTAATGATTCATTAGTATTAGGAAAATTTGGGATTGGACAGGAAAGAGATGGGTTCAAGTTTCTAAACTGAAAATGCCAGGTGTGCCTTGTAGAGATATTGTGTGGGCAAATTTCTAATCTGTAGACTAGCTGTCAATAATTCTCCATCTTCTATCTTGTGCAAACCTTTTGAGACAACTGGTTTGGATGCAATGGGTAAGGCAATGTACTCAAGGATGGGGCTCTGTGATTTCCACCAATTCATTCCACCCCCCTCTCTCTCTCACACACACACCCCTGAAACTCTCTGAAGAATAGTGGGCTCTACCTAATGTTAGTCTGAGTTCTGTTTCTTTCATTTTAATGGATCTGCTCAAACAGGACTAACATTGGAAAAACTCCACTGAATTATATTTTGGAGTATGCACTGAACGTGGAAAATAAAAGGCTGGGAAGCCTCACGCTACAAGAGAAGCTCCACTTGTGGTTCCGAGAATGCAAATAGTGTTTCTTTTAAACTGCTGGACCAACTCAGACCCCAAAAGCCATACCAGAGATGCACATCACTACTTTGTATATATTGGCACAGGACTACCTTCAAAGAGCTTTAAGAGATCATATATTCTTTCTTCTTCTAGTCTATAAATACTCACAGCCAAGTTATATTCTATTGTTTGTTGGCTTAACAACCAATAAATCCCAAACATTTTAAACAGGCAAGATTTGGCAAAGTCTATCTGTAGGGGTCAACAACTTGCGTGTATCAAAAACTTTGGCCATCTTGTCCTTTTAAAGAACTGATGTTTGCAATAACTGAACATGAGGATTTGGCTAAAAAAACAAACCTAGTGGGTTACATTGTCCGCCTCTGAAGCCCCATGGAAGCATTCTCTGGCTCATGTGTAGGGCTAAAATGCGGTGGGGAACTTTAGCCCCATTTCCAATACTCCCATGTGAGCAGAACCCACTCTACACATTAACTTGGAAGGCATGCAGAGGCCTGTGCAGCACAATCAGTCAAATGCATTCACAAAGCCCCTGCAGCCACAAACCCTGCCTTATCAGAGGTTTTGATCATGGGAACTTTGTAAGCACATTCAGCTGCAGGAAGGTCTAACTCAGCATTGTGCTCCCAGCGATGCTGGAGCGGGGCTTATGCAGGCACCGATGTCACGGTTCATACTTGAGTTCTACATGTAAGCAATTTGACTGTGTGGCCCTAGCGTTTGCAGACAGCACCTTTCTACATTCATATAACTAACTGGAACCAGAATATTCATATCAAACAGACAAATGCAAGTGCTTGCTATTCTGATCTGTCTTTATAATTAAAATGTCTAAAGCATACCTTTCGTTAGTTACACCATTTAGGTTTTTACCATTGACTTCTAAAATCAAGTCTCCGATAAGTAATCGACCTTAAAAAGAAAGAAGCTAATAATGAACGGTAAATTGGCTAAATGAGTTAGCAGTAAAATCAGTACTAAAAGTAGGCCACTGGTTCCAACATATATAAAACTTTTCTATCATTTTTCCTGCAAAATAATGCCATAATGCTTCCAGTACACTCTCAGCAATATAAACTTGACAGCCATAGGATTAATTTCTTTCTGAATAATTCCATCCACACTATTTATGCAAACAAATAGGATTATTATCACACGAGAGTGCCACCTGCCATTTTGGCTTTTCTTGGAGCATTTATGTCAGGAAAAGTGCAGTATTGTGTGAACTCAATTTTGTGGCATAGCTATCACAAAACAACTGTTCCAACTTGCCAGCAGGAAGCAAGCTTATCACCTATCAACCCTTTCCTTTGATAGCAGTCATTGCAATGAATCAAGACCCAACAGTATGGTACCGAACTCCCTGCAAATGTATGGCACTGAAACCTTTCACCAACTATAATTACATATGGTTTGCAATCCAAATAAAGCAAGTGTCTCATGCCTGATCATCTCTTATCAGATCTAGTTGTACATGAGGAAGTACAGTAAAAATTAGTGCACAAAGTGATCGTTACTTTAGTACCAATGTCAGGAACCAAGATTCCAGTAAAAGTAATGATTTACTGTCTACCGCAGCCAAAATCCCGGGTAATATCCTCTAGATGAAAATTCCATAGTCTTCTTCATATTGCTGGCCATAGCCTCTGATAATTTTAATGCCTGTGCAGCAAGCAAAGGAAGCAAGAAATAAGCAAGTTGTTTCCCAATGGAACATACCGAGGTTACTACTAAGTATTTTTATGCATTTCAGCTCCTATCTGTTGAGGAGAACGGCCTGCAAGTGCCCAGAAGGGGCACAGCAACAGCACTCCCATTTTTTTAAGAGTAAATTGAATGCGTAATCTAATTACCTAATCCGTTTTGGCAGTCTGAAAATGCAAAGCAATGGATAGCTCAATTGATTCCATGAGAGCCCATAATAGTCCTTTTGAAAAGGAAAGCAGAAATGGCGGGTTTCAGAGCAGTTGCGCTGTATGAAAGCTCACTTGTATAATTCTTACGGGGATTACTCGTGGACAGAACAGATAAATTTAAAAAAAATGGAAAAAGGTCAGAAGTTGCAGTGCATTACACATTAGGGAACAGCATCTTGCCTCTCAAGATCAGAAAAATGAGGACAGCTTCTAGAACTGGAGTTATTGCTTAGAAATGTAGGAAACACCCTCCCATTTTAGCACCATCATAAAATATTACCAAAAAGTGATGAAATTTCATTTGCTTCCCTTTTACAACCTGGCAGTTCGTGGTGCATTTGTTTTATTTATGTATTTATTATTTCTATATCTCACTTTTCTTTTCCCAAGAGAAAGCTCAAGGCAGCTAGCAAAAGATTAACGAAGGATTAAATGCAACCTTTGCAAGAACTATTGCGCTGATTCTGGACAATATATTCTGCATAAAGTACCATTTACAATAGCAGTATCAGTCCCAGCAGTGCTGTTAGGGCACATTTAAAGCACATGTCATGAAGTTAGAGCCAAGAATACAGCATTCAGTAGTGATGCAGATCATCTTCTCCCTCTTTGTCATCTCGCCTTAAAGTCAGGGCAGCTGTCCCAGCTCTGTGCTGCATAACCACCCTGCAATACTGCTAATACTTCCGTGGCTTCTTCATCAGGCATTAAAGCAGAAGGCAAAGGAAGTGGACAGCCTGGGTTTTTGCCCAAGCAAAGCATGTTCTATCCTTTTCCAGGTCAGGGTAACAAATAAACACAGGGGAAAGCAACACAGAGGCAGCCCCGTGGCAGATCATAACCTTGTCACCTAAAATAATATTTATTTGGCACAGACAATGAAGCAAATGTCTAATTATCAGGTAGCTTGAAAGGACATTGCTCTAATATGACATTCTGAACAGAATATACATTTTTGCTCCAGCTGAGGTAAAATTGAGCCCCAAGGGTATGAACCAATGAGTTTGGAGCAGCCCCATGCATTTCAATGGAGTAATTCTCAACATTATAAACAGTAAATATCTGCAAACAGAAAATGACTGTCTAATAAGGGCTAAACACTGCAACAAGAAATGTTATGCTGCATTTTGCTATTTTTTTCCTGTGAATGCTGAACTTTAAGATTGTGTCTTAATGTTTGATGTTTTGTGACATTCCTATTGCACAGCCAATAGATATGCAATTGTCTGTTGAAGGCAAGGCTACTGAAAATCAACATTAGCAGTCAAGGTAAAAACTCAGTCAGAGTTCAGGGAGACACAAATAAGTACATGATCTGTTTACATTTCTGTGAGCCAAATGAAGTAACTGTTGGTGTAAAATGCAGCATTTGGAGATGGGGATGCAGGATGAAGGGAACTACCAGTAGAAGAAATAAGTCACAATTATTGATATATTACCACTATTTAATGAGTCATTTCTTTGTCCCTGATGCATAAAGCACCCAAGGAGATGTATAACAATAAAAGGTAGAACACTAAACCAAAAACCAAAACAGACATATTAAAAATTGCAAACCAACTCAGCAACCAAAATCACTCTTTAAATAACACAGGGATGGAATTCCACAACATTAGTACTGTGGTACAGAAGAAGCCTCTAGCAACCTCTAAGTTTAGCAAAGGTGAAAATAGCTTAATTTCTATTACAGACTTCAAATAGTTCTGGAAGGCTAGAACAGCTAAATCTAACCACTTAGCATACCAATATAAGAGAGAAAGCCCATCAAAATGTTCTGGTTCTCTTTCTTCCACTGGCAACAGAAGACGCATTCTTAACAGAAAATCAATACAAATGAAGCAACACCGTCCTAGAAGGCATTGAAAAGGTTCATATTCAGTAGTGCAAAGCTTATACCCGGCACACTTTGTGTTACTAAAAAAATCTCAGCAGACTGAAATGAGTCTCTCTTTCTAGTTAATCTCTAAAATCCGGTATGTCACATGAATAATTCACCTATGACAGCAAAGTTCAGGCCTCTGTTCCATCAAGCCCCTGTTGTAGGCACGTACTGGAAACAGTACAAAGATTGCCTGCATTGCCCCTCAATTTTAGTCTGATGTTTCCATCTAACAGACTTCAAGTAAGCAACATCTTATTTTTGCGAATGCTAAAATTTGCCCTCTGTGATCCTTTTGCAGAATACAATTTAAAGACTATCTATTTAAAGCAATCTGCCCACCAGAATGCATTATGCATTCTCAGGAACACATCAGTGATCCCATTTGGGTTTTTATTTGATTTCAAGAAGCTGCAACAGTGTCTGCTCTCCAGATCTTCTGTTATTGGGTCCATATCCATAGTTACATCTGCTGCACCTGCTCAGGTGAAACAGTCAAACACCTGACCTGCCACTGCCTCCAATACAAATAAGAACAATGACATGACTGTAGTATATGAAGTGCCTTTGACTGTTAACACGGGTTCTTAGAACATTTTGCTTGAACTGATTATACTGGATAGGCCTGAATTGCCCTCCTGGCTCTTCATGCTAATATCCTGCAATTTACTTGGATTTTATTTTTTAGGCTTCTTGAGCAAAAGAAAGTAGCAATTTTTACTTCTCTTTCTATTGCAGTTAACTTCAGTGATCTTACAGACACAAATGGCTAATGCAATGGGGGGGCAGTCAGGACTGGAACTGTGCGGCGGGGGGGGGGGGGGAGAGATAGTTTCCATGAAAAGTCCCCTCTCCTGAATGCTATTTGTATTGGGAAGGAAATTCCCAATGGTGCTTTGCAATGTCTAAAATAATCTTTCCACCTCCAAGAGGAAAACTGACAAGCAATCTGAACAATCTTGTTAGTTTCATAACCATCCATGTTCATACATTTCCCTACATCCTTTTTGCAGCAATGCAGTTAGTGGTGGACACTCCCAGATTAGATCCCCCAGAGGTAGGTAACCTTTTGGATCTGTTGTTCTCAAAGGAACAGAATCTTTGCCTGGCTTCATCGTGGTCAGGAAAAAAAAGCCACTGTGACTTCTTTTCCCTGTCTGTGCATGCCAGTTGGAATCTGCCAAATTACCTCTGCCAGGTGTTGTGCCATCCAAACATGGTGAGAGTGGTTAGGATATTTTACAAGCCACCCTAAAACATATGGCTTGTTCTAGGGTTTCCCCATTATCATGCAAAGCTGCTCTGAGAAAAGTTACTAGAGTGCAATTCTAAGCTTGACTCCTTCAAAACCACCACCTGCTCCCTCTCAGTATCTAAGCCAGAAGCACAGAACCTCTTTTAGACTGAAGGACAAATTCTACCTGGAGAAGTACTTCCAGGCCACAAGTGAGCAGGGCTGAAAGCAACAGGGATGGAGCCAAAGGCAAAAGGGGTGAAGCCAAATATAAAATATACCCACACATTTTAGATTGAGGAATTCTATGCAAATTTAGGCAGAAAAGGGCCAGCATACTCCAGCCAAAATGGGGTGGGTGCACACAAACTGGGAAATGGGCTGGGGACCCAGAAAGGGGATGTGACCATCTGTGGAACCCTGAAGGGCTTGACTGAGACCCCAGGTTGGCAAGAAGCAGTGCATAAACCTCCAATTCCAGCCCTGGTCGACATGTATGCAAATATATGAAACACATGGAAAAGATCTCTGCCTTTTATGGCTAAACAGCATCTGATCGGGCTAGAAGAAAGTACCATTATTTCCCCCACACTCAAGATCCCCCCCTTCTGAGTGATGGGGCATGGGTAACAGTGCTGGGGGATGATGAACAACCTAGAAGGGTTTATGAATGCAAAAAGAAGTTGTAGCAAATGTTTGAAGCATGAGACCATACCACCGAACCCTTTCAGGGGTGGGGCACACGTGACTGTTTGGATACTGCTGTACTCCAACTCCCATCAGTCAGCAAGACCAATGGTCAGGAATGCTGGGAATTGCAGTCCAACCACATCCACAAGGCCGCACCCTTATTCTTTTAATGTGCCTCAGGGTGCTTTTGTACACCTGTCCCCATGCCTTGACGGCGATTTTTGTTTCTACTGAACCCGGTAACAGGCAGCAGCAGAAGCAGCGAGCAGCAGGAGGCGGCGAGGAAATGGGTGGCTGCGTGCCACTTGCTGGGGCGCAACAGCCGGAGGGAGGGCTGAGCATCGCGCTCCTGTCCTGTTCGGTGCGTCCAGAAGGTATCTTCTCGGGGCAGGAGCGCCAGCTGGACGCAGGAACCAGGCCTTGCGCCTATCAGCAGCTGGCCAGCTGAATGCCCGCGAGCAAGCTCATGCCGGGGCTGCTGCTTCGCTGCGAGCCCCTGCTCCGTTCCGCAGTTGCGAAGAGGCGTGCGGACGCGACCACAGGGGCGTGCATGTATGGGACGCACGTCCCCCACACTCAGCCTTGGGCATGGCTTTTCCTTTCCTGCCTGAGCCTGCAAGCAGCGACTTCTGCTCCGACCGCAGAGAGGCGGGGCTAGGAGGAGGAGGAGGAGGCGGTGGCGGCAGCGGCAGGTAACGAGAACGCGGACTTACCCCCCGCGGCCGCCGTAGTCAGCCGTGCTCGTGCTGCAAGCAGCACCAAAAGCGACAGTACCGCGCGTTACGTTGACCCGCGGCACGCCCGCCCGCTCGCTCGCTCTCCTCCATTCGCGCGATAGTTGCCGACTGAGCCCCCGCGAGAAGCCCGTCCACGTGACCGGAAAAAGTCATGGGGCCGTGCGCGCGGGGCTGTCTTTGCCTTGGGGCTTCTGCTGCTCGGGGATGGGGCCCGTGGCGGACGCGGCTCGGTCTCCACGGCAACTCGGCTTATGGCGCGCGGCGTGCCGAAAGCACCGAGCCCCTCTCTGGGGATCGCTGGCAGCAGGAACGACGGTGGCGGCAGCAGGAGGAGGAATACAGGAGCCGCCGGAACAAGACGATGCTGACCTACTTGGCAGCCGGGGTGGTGGGCATGGCAGGGCTGTCGTACGCTGCCGTGCCGCTCTACCGTCTCTATTGCCAGGTGAGAGCCACTCTGGGGTCGTGGACTCTACTACCGGGGGCACAGTCTGCCCCCCAGGTCTTTAGTGGCTGGACCACCCCCAACACCACCCCCCCCCGTCACTTTATTTCATCCCCCAAAGATCCTTAGTTTTTTTTTTCCTTGCAGCAGTTAGTAATGATGAAATACCATTTTTGGGGAAGGCTTGCTGAGGTGTGTGCATTCTCTCTTTGTATATCTATTTTTGCTTGTGTCCTGTTTCCCAAGCTAGCATCAGATGTGATCTTTGAGCCAAAAAAGATGCTGTTCTGCTGTGCGCATTTTCCTGTGAATGTCGCATTAAATTCAAAGGGACTTTCTTCTCAGTAGATTGCACCCTAAATCTGCAGCTCTAATGGAAGTAACTTATGTGCTTCTTAACATTTATGTGTTCTAGGCCATGGTTTGTTGATAAAGTTTTCTTTTATATACAGAAAATTATTAGAGGAATCTGGTCGCCACAATATGCTTAAACTTTAAAATGCTTTCAAAATAGTCCCTGACAAAGGTTCCTGGGTGAAGGTAGTGGTTCTTGGATAACAGGAGAAAGAACCTCTCATGATAGCTAACTAGTTAAAAAACAGGACGTAGAGAGTAAAAAGGGACAATTTTCACAATACAAAAATACAAGAAGTGGCTCCCCAAACTCTGTATTGTGACTGGTGCTTTTTAATTTATGAATGAATGAATAATTTTATTGAATAAGTCTTTCAAACATGTCAAACAAACAGAAACAAATGAACATTAAAAGCAATCATTAAACTAAAACTTTGCATTAATATTTAAAAGTCATATATTATAATTAAGAATAGCATATTAAGATTTAAGAATTACAATATATAATATGTATAAACAATATAATTTGTGACTGACAGCTGATAAACCAATCATATACCAACCCCAATGTATTAAAATTTTTAATCAAATCTGCTAGCTAGTCCATTTTTCCATTTCTTTTTTCCTTATTCTGGCTGCTCTGAGAGCAAAACGGGCAACTCTCTGGAACACAAAAAGCTGGGACCTTGTAAGAGGAAAAAAGAATTTATCCTTCACTGACCAGTTTCTCATGTATTTAAGAAATAAGGATATATAATGTTCTCTATAATCTGAATCTAAGCAACATTCAAGTTAATAATATGTTAATTCTTCTTCTACAGGGTAACCACAGATACATAATCTCTCTTTCATTGAAATACCTTGGAATCTACCCTGTAGCATCATTGTATCCATTATCTCAAATCAGAAGCTAGTAAAGGCTATGCATTGGTCCCATTTCATATTAAAAAAACAGATATTTTTCTTCCCTAAATTGAAATGTAGTTTTGGATAGTCATTTCATGACTTTTGAGTTTAACACTGCAGCTATATCAGTCTGAAATCCTTAATTTGACAGCATTTTTTATATTGGTGCTAGGAAAGCTTATAGCCCCCATACTAAAACCATTGCTTGGCAACATCTTTATGAATTTATGAAGCCAGGAAGTTTCTAAGGTTTTAGACATTGCTCAAACTAACTTGAATCAATAATTGAATACCCCAAGTTGCTTTTAGTCTGAAATGGTTATGATTCCAAATTTAGTTTTAAGCCCATAGGCTGGAACCATCCCTAAAATCATATGTAAAAAGCGATTTTGGACCCTATTTATTTCCTTATTGTTAGAAATTCCCCAGATTTCCACAGTATAAATTTGTACCGGCAACACTTTTGCCTTGTATACCTTGATGACTGACAAGAGAGCCAGGTTGTCTGTAGTTCATGAGACTATTCAAAGATTGAGCACAGTCAGTTGCTTTTAGCTCATTTTTCTTTAGTTACAATGCCCAGGATCCTGTAGAAATATATTTAGGCCAAGGTAAATATATGAGTTCACCTGTTCAATATCACTTGAGTCCAAAAACCACTTATGTCACTTCTTTTTCTTACCAAAAGGTCGGCGCCAGGCGAAGACCTTTTTATTCAAACATCATTTTAATTGCTAATATTATTTGCTTATTTTATTCTTTGGCCAGGGTGACTTATTTTATATTGTTAATTCGTTTTATATTTTTAGTGTATTATATTTTAATTGATGTTTTGTGAGCCGCCCCGAGGCTTCGGCGAATGGGGCGGCATAGACATTTTCTAAATAAATAAATAAATAAATAAAAATTAGCACTTTTCATTTCTTGCTATTAATCACAAATCATTTTCCCTACAATAAGCACTAAATTTTCTCAGTAGCTTCCACAAACCAACTTGAGCCGGGGGGGTGGGGGTGGAGGGGACATCATCCACGTATAGGAGGATGTTCACTGGTTTATCCAAAGCCTTTGGCATGTGAACATTTTGATTATGAAGCATGGGAACAAATTCATTAATATAGAAGTTAAAGAGGATTGACACAAAAATACATCCCTGATGACCTCCTTTACTTGTGGGAATCCCACTTGTTTAAAGCTTGATTTACCCCTGGTTCTATAGTGTCAGTATAGAGACTGTATAAGAAAAAGGAGTCTCTGATCATTGTTTATTTTAGTGAGTTTTTCCAGAGAAGATGTCTTATTTATTGAATCAAAGGTAGCACTTAAATCAATAGATCCAATAAAAGGGTATCTGCCCTTTGTCATGTACATATGAAATGGAAGAAGATAAAACAGTTATCAATAATAGACCTTCCTTATCTAAAGCCAGCCAGCTCTTTTGCTAAAATAGCATTTTAATTGGCTCACTCCTCTGGTTTTTGGTGTAGAAATCTGGCAAAGATTTTTGTGGGGTATCAAACTAATGGGTCTATAGTTTCTGGGTCTGCACAATTACCTTTTTTAAATAGCGGAACAATTATGCTAAGTTTCCTTATTATGAATGACTCTGAATTATTAGATTTATATGCTGCATTTTTTCTTCTTGCAAAACTCTTAAGGCAGCTTACATAGTCCTTTTCTCCACTTTATTAGTTGACAGCGCCAACTAATTCAGAGTAGTAAAGACCAAAAAAAAAAAAAAGTTAAGAGCTCCAAAGTAGTTTTCTCAAACTGGGTGAATGGGCAATACAATGAGCCATTGCTTGTTGCAGGGTTCAGTAGCCACTGTTAGGCTTGTGTGTTGTTCAAACATGGATAATACAATGAACTCAGGTGAAGTGCTGAAGCCTAGATAGCTGCTTGTCAAGAGCAACTGACCCATCACAACCCCATGGACAACGTTCCTCCAGGCCTTCCTGTCCTCCACCATCCCCCAAAGTCCACCTAAGCTCGCACCAACTGCTTCAGTGACTCCATCCAGCCACCTCATCCTCTGCAGTCCCCTTCTTCTTTTGCCCTCAATTGTTCCCAGCATTAGGCTCTTCTCCAGGGAGTCCTTCCTTCTCATTAGGTGGCCAAAATATTTGAGTTTCATCTTCAGTATCTGGCCTTCTAAAGAGCAGTCAGGGTTGATCTCCTCTAAGACTGACCGGTTTATTCGCCTCATGGTCCAAGGGACTGGCAGGAGTCTCCTCCAGCAGCACAATTCAAAGGCTTCAATTCCTTGGTGCTCAGCCTTCTTTATGGTTCAGCTTTCACAGCCATACATTGCAACTGGGAAAACCATAGCCTTGACTATATGCACTTTTGTCAGCAGGGTGACATCTCTGCTTTTTAGTATGCTGTCCAGATTTGCCATAGCTTTCCTCCCCAGGAGCAAGTGTCTTTTAATTTCTTGGTGCAGTCCCCATCTGCACTCATTTTGGAGCTCAAGAAAATAAAATCTGTCACTAATAAGCAGCATATAATGTTAATAAAACATTCTGCTTGTGGGCTTTCTGTAGGCATCTGGCTTCTTGCAACATGTTATTGGGCTAAGTTTAATATATTTTTGATAGTTGCTTCTTTCAGTAAAGGGATTGATTCTGTTTAAGTCTTCTGTTTCCAGCCAGGGCATTGTTAATTACAATTTATTTTCCTTCAAGGCTACCGGACTTGGTGGGTCAGCAGTAGCAGGTCATGCTTCAGACCAGCTTGAAACAATGGAGCCTATAAAAGATCGCATTATTAAGGTTACCTTCAATGCAGATGTACATGCAAGTCTTCAGTGGAATTTCAGACCTCAGCAGACTGAAGTATATGTGAGTGATTTACAATTTGGTAAATGAGTTTTGTACAGACTTTCTCACATATGCACTGATGTGAATATTGGTCTAATAACCTGCTCATTTAAAAATATTGGGAAACTTGTCACGCATGCTGGACTGGTAGTATTTAAATTCCCCTCTCTTACTTCTGTCAGGCATTCAGTCTACAGGTTGCTCTGAACTTAACTGTTCAGGTGGACATTTACATTCAAAAGAACAAGATCTTGGTGCGATGTTTGTTGCTCATTTGGAATTCTCCTGCATTTCAAATTAATTATGAACCTTTACGAAGCAGGAGAAAATGAGGTAAATAGTAAGCTGTTTAATAGATCCCCTATTGTTGCAGTTGCTGTGCTAGCCAGTTGTCAGTATTTGAAAATACTCCTTGCTTTGGCTAGGTTACATTCTGACAGCATAGCTTTGTAATTAAGTAGTTGCCAATAGCAAATAAATATCGTCTCCGGGAAACCAGGCTCAGTTCCACAGCCACTGACAGTTTGCTCAGAGTGCAGATGTGGCAGTTTGTCACACAGCTGTAGCTTTTCACAGCTAGGGTAATGCAGCATCCTGCTGTGATTGCCCTTTCAGCTGCACACTCTTGAAAGAAAATAACCCCTATGATGCCGCAGCATTGGGCGAGCCATGGTGCACTTCCATGTCTTCTGGGTTGGCGCAGTAAAGTAACATGCTCCAGAGACTTTTGTTTGCTGAAGTTACTTCCTTATGCAAGTTTGTTCCCTCCTACCTGCATGGGGATACACTCCCTTTGCTCTGAATACTAGGTAACATCTTGATTTGGATCTACTTTGAACTGGAATGTTGTAAATTTTTGGCTCAGCATGTTCCTCGGTGCACAGGATTTGTGTACCTGAGTGAGTGCTTAGTGTAACTTAAGTCAGTTGCAATTATCCTAAGCACAAACTTCATGTTACCTAAAATCCAGGTACATGTTACTTGTCAGTGAAGGAAGCCTAAGTGATGAGAAGCAAGAGAAATTGCTACAGATTTTTTTTATATATATAGGTTGTTCCAGGAGAGACTGCACTAGCATTTTACAAAGCAAGGAATCCTACTGATAAGCCAATAATTGGAATCTCTACCTACAATGTGGTGCCTTTTGAAGCTGGACAGTATTTCAATAAGATACAAGTAAGTGAAGTATGATGCTCCCAAGAATGGGCTGGAACTGCTAAGCTGCTATAATATTGCAACTTCTCCAACTTATAGTTGGATCCTGATTCTGTGCTAATCCACAATAGCAGCCATACCCAGGAATACATCTATGGTAATTCTCCTTGGGAATGGTCTTCCTTTGTAGTGGCATAAGAGGATGCTATTCTTTTGATTCAGGAGCTAGCTTCATCTTCTTCTTTGAAGAAGCTGCAGTTATTTCCTTCAGTGGTTCTGTTACCACTTCTAAAACATAGAATATTACTATGATTTGTTTAATAGTTCAAATTTTGCATTTCCCAAAAGAGACATAACCCTAATAATTAATTTGCCATCAGTGGTAATTAGGGCACTAGCTCTTCATTAAATACTTCATATTTGGACAGATATACTTGTCACAAGATAGTTGCTTGACAGTGGGAAAGTGAATAGTACATGGATTTGTTTGCAGGTAGAACTGATCATAAAAAGTTTTTTTTTATAATATTGCTGCACTAACTCACTTGAACTAATTACTGAAGATTAACATCAACACAGACTGTAGAGATAAAGGTTGGTTTAGCACTGAATGTACAACATAACACTGAATGTACCACAAAACATTCTTCCCAAATATCCAGTGCTTTTGTTTTGAAGAACAACGACTTAATCCCCATGAGGAAGTTGACATGCCAGTATTTTTCTTCATTGATCCTGAATTTGCAGAAGACCCAAAGATGGCCAAAGTTGACCTGATCACTCTTTCTTACACCTTTTTTGAAGCAAAAGGAGAGAAACTGCCACTCCCAGGTTATAATTAATACAACAACGTAGTATCTGGACTCTGCATTAGAGATTTGCTCTGCTATTCAAGACTGATGATCACAGACTGTGCAAAAGCACATTCCTTACTTCTGGAAGACTATGATGAAAAACTGCAAAGCAGAAACCATGTTTTAGGTGTTAAATATGTACAGATTTGTAGTTCATCTGGAAATACAATATTTAATTTTGTACGCAACCATGATTGTAAATTCACAGTAGTAACTCAAATTCCACATTCATTTCATCTCTCTCACAGGCTACCAGTCATGTTGCCAATAATGTCTGTTTATCAATATAATTTATGAATTGGTAGTAAAACTTAAAAAGCAACTTAAAGACTTTTATTTTAACATGGTTTTCAAAAACATTTTGCCACAAATTGCGATGGGATGCCAAAGGGAGAAAATGGCCTAGGATTTCAGGATTTACTGTATGTTGGGTAAATATATAACCTGTCTGCATTATATCAGAAATAGCCTTGTCTGGTAAAAGTTCTTGGTTTTTTAAAATGAAAGTAGATTATTTATGATGAAGTTCAGCTGCTCTAGTCACTGAATAACTTCTTTTCAGTAGCTGGGGGCAGGAAATAGGGCAGGGGGCAGGGCAGGTAACTGAACTTTTGCTATTTTCCAAGTATTTGATTGGAACTGACAGTAATATTAGAAATGAGATGCCAAAGATATGATGAAGATCTAGTGGAAATGTCAGCTCAGAGTTCGATGATAACAGTAAACAAGGCAATAAATAAATGTGCTGGGAAGCATTATACACAAAATAGTAACTTTAAGCATTTATGCTATGATAGATTTATATATCCGCTGGAACCATCCATTAAGAGTTGTCCATCTCCATTTACTTGGATTGTATAAAAATACAGCAGTTGTATAATGTGTACAGAGCAGTCAGACTGCAAACGTATCAGTTTGCACTGCCAAGCATTGAAGTAAGAGCAATGAATTGTAACGACACCACATTTAAGTTTCTGACACATTCGGCATTGTGGGGCAGGTGGGATGCAGAGGATTCCTTAGAATCTCAGCTTCTCTCACAGCTGGTGCAGTAAGAACCATATTGGCTGCCTTTGGATACAGCAAAAAGGGGCATGCTGAAGATGAGGCTGGCTGAGTGAAAGCATTGAGCTGGATAAGGTGCAGCAGCTATGTTCATAGAAGGCTGCTGCAGTACTTCACACCTGACTTCAGAAGCTTACATGCATCGAGGGCTCATGGGGGTCATAGGGCGGCACCTACATATAAGCATGGCACATGTTTTAATCAGGGAGACCGCACTTTTTTAAAATCTTTTTACCATTATTCCTATTACCATGTAACTCCATTACTGTTTAAAGAGAACTCAAGTTGCTGCAAACAAGAGGAAAGCATCGGCAGTAACAGCAGCAAAGATGAAGAGGCCTCTCACACACAGAGACCTCCACCTAGTACTCAGCGCACATAGTATTGCGCTGTAGTTGTTTCCAGTGGAGTTCTAAAAAGCCTAGACCCTGTGTGGGCTCTCTGTTCAGTATTTAACTCCAACAAAGGCAAGTCATGGAAGAAGGCAAGCTATTGGTACAAGCCCCCTTTAAAGCTTTAACATTTTCGCATTTTCTTGTGCACAGTAAAACTGTACATTAAATATTTCAAAATAAGAGCAGTAGTGAAGAATTCTCAGAAGGACAAGGGAACCTTGCGTCAGCACATCTGTACTCTGTGAGCAACTGAGGAGGAAGAGACAATCCTCCAAGGTAAAAGGTAAAGGTTTCCCCTTGACGTTCCGTCCAGTCATGCCTGACTCTAGGGGGCGGTGCTCATTTCCGTTTCCTAGCCGAGGGAGCCAGCGTTTGTCCGCAGACAGTCTCTGTGGTCATGGGGCCGGCATGAGTAAACACCGAAGTGCACGGAACGCTGTTACCTGCCCACCGAAGTGGTACCTGTTTATCTACTTGCATTTGCATGCTTTCGAACTGCAAGGTTGGCAGGAGCTGGGACGGAGCAATGGGAGCTCACCCCGTTGTGCAGATTCGAACCCGCGACCTTTCGATCAACCAGCCCAGCAGCACAGCGGTTTAAACCACTGCGCCACCTGCAGTCCCCACATCTGTACTCTGAGCAACTGAGGAGGAAGAGACAGGGTGATGACGATCCTCCAAGGTAGACGGTCAGTAAATTCTATCGCCATGGTCATCAGATTTTATTTTTACCTGTGGGATAGCAAATAAGGGACTATCCAGTACTTAAGGGTCTCGGCGCTGCTGTCTCTAAGAGTTGAACCCTGATCCAGCTCCTCGTACCACTCAACTAATAAGGACCATTCTATTGTGCAGATCTTTCATAGGAAAAGATTTCACTTTAATTACCAAACAGAATGCACTGTGAAATAAAGTACTTTTTATCTAAGCACAAGCTCATTTGATATGCCTATTATAATATGGCATTATCCTTCCGGGAAGAATCCATTTTTGGATAACAAAAATACATAGTTTCATACAATTTGGTCCAAAGCATGTACAAATAGAACTTTGCACTCTTCAGGATTGATTACTCTTAATGTAATGCACTTTAGGTAAAGTATGCAGGATAGGCATCTTAGATCATAACTGGCTTCACTTGAATGGTCTGATAAATTCAAATCATCTTCGAAAACTAGATTTCCCTATCCCAAACATAATAGTCTCTGGTACTGATAAATGTGATGTGTTCTCTTGGACATCAGCTTCTAGCAGCTGCTTTTGTTCTGAACATTTCGCTTGAAGAGGTGTTCATCAATTTCTTCATAAATAGCTCTGAAATTAAAGCACAAGATAAACACATTCATGGCATGAAATACATGCAGCAATGACAGCAGACAGGTGAGCAAAGAACTTGTCTTATTTCAGTGCCCCAGTTTGGAGAAGTAATGATCAACCGGTAAGCAACATGCTACATTCACCCTTTCAAATAACTTTACCTCCCCCCCACCCCCAATTAGCCCCTACTTCATTTAAGGCATCATTAAAAGTGATGGCAAAGTTTGTTCACAGTGACAAAAATAATATTACATTTATCATACGGATTTGATGCCCTTATTGCTCACCAGAAAGATCAATTGGCATCCAATCCCACAGTTGTCTTTACTATGGCTTCAATCCTAAATTCTTGGGAATGGAATTCTACCCATGGGATACATGCACTGGAGAAAGAGACTGATTTTCTCCATGCCTTTTCCTGAAAAGCTGCTCTGATAGAATGGGGGAACTCCAGAATAAAACAGGAGGTAGCACGCTGAGGGTACTAGGGGAAGGGGGGCGGTCAGCAAAAATTACTTCTCCACTCTAGTAAGAGACTCCAGTAAACCTCAGTCACTTCTATTAACAGAAGGGACAGTCTGGAACAAACCCTATGAGTTCACGTAATCTGATTTTTTCCAGCCAATTATTTTTTCAAAAACACCCAGGAAATGCAAAAGTTTATACAGCACTTTCTAAAAGTGATTCCTTCATATGCCTGTTTTGCAGATAGGAAGGGACTGACCTAATGTTATTGAGCACAGTTATATGTTAAGTCTGAACAGTTATATGTTAAGTCTAACTGGAAGAAAGTAATGTGGCTCTAAGGTAAGGGTGTTGTAAGTGTGAAACGTAATACACTGCTGCAATGGCTTTGGGGAGAGGGAGAGGGAGAGGTCTGGGCTGCCGCAAAAAGCAAACAAGCAGTAACTTTGTCATTCTCAAAATTACTTACTCTGTTTTATCACTGGGAGCCAAAGGATCAAATTCTATTAGTTCATAATAATTAGGAGGTGTTGTGATGTTTTTTGAATTACCTGGAAAAAGGAAAGCCAGAGGGGAACAATTTAAGCTGACATGCAGGTGAAGTACACTAAGAAACCAAAGTCCTCTTCATCACTATTACCTTCTATTGTAATTTTTATTATTAATTACTTTACATGTATACCGTACCTTCCTTTCTCTTGTAAGGAACTGAAGACAGCTTAGCTAATATTCTTTCCTCTTAATTTTATCCTTTACAACAACATTCCTGTGGCTTTAAGTTAGGCTGGGAGACTCTGATGGGCCCAAAGTCACCCAGTGAACTTCATGACCAAGCAGGGACTAGAACCAAACTCTCCTGAGTCCCAAGTCCTGAATCCAGGACTTTCACCACTATGCCACACTGCCAAAAGGCAAACAAAAACATTTAATAGGTGTGGGAGTGATTACTCCTAACTTCTAAGGGATAGTTCTAAGCAGCAATTCCTCACAGCTGTACAGGCAAAAGTACCACAGACCAAGAATGGAAAGACTTTTAGGTTCAACCAGAAAAATATATTACAGTGGAACAACACAGCACGATCGGTAAATGTAGGGGTTATGCAGAATTTTGTCTTCAACTTCTATACTGAGAAGACTCAGTTGAAGTTTCAGGTGCGTGAAGGATACAAAGGGCAGGACCCCATCTGCCTCCCGGGTGTTTCTGTTTTGCCTCCAGAAACAAGGGGCACACACATGCAAATGCTTCCATAGTACTTCTTTTTTAAAACTCCAACTACGACAGGCTTGAATTATGCCATAGGTTGGTATGATCTTGCTTTTTTGCCATGCATACCCTGTACATATCCTCAGACCCAAGGAGGGTCTTTATCAAAGTGTCATGCATACAGGAAAGCAGCCACAAGTTCTGTACAAGTGCAATCGTTTAAATTTACCTGCTGGTTGTGTGTCTTTTGAACCATTACTTTGAAGGCTTACTGGATGCAAAGGCACTATATTTAAATATGTGTTTACCTAAGGAAATGAAGTGAATTAAATCAGGTATGTAGGAAGATACATTTGTTATATAAAAAAAAAACTGGTTTAACCTACCATACTAGTTCTTGTATTCATAACATTAAGCCATAAAACAAAGGATTGCCATGTGTGTACAGGAAGAAATATATTAACCCTGTTTTTGTTTGTTGATACTGCAGTTCAACCAGTGCAAAGCTTGGCAGGATCCAGTCAACCATATTTACCATGCAACAGGCATGTGGGGTGAAGGGTGCTGTTCAAAAGCCCCTTGTGAGGAAGCGTAGGATATAAATCAACTTAAGATCCAAGGGTGCTGGAATCTAAATACCACTTTGGCTCAGGTTTCAGGGATCTTGAACAATATACTTTTGAAGCTGAATTTATGATAATGTGCATCCTGCATTCCACTGCCTCCATTTTATTCCCCCGTCTCCTTGTTTCCCTTATATTGGTTTTTATTCTGTAAGCCTTTAGGGCGGGGACTTGTCAGATCTTTTCTTTCTAATAACAAAAAGCCATGTATACAGAAGACACTATCTACCGTATTTTTCGCTCTATAAGATGCACTTTTTGCCCCCTCAAATAGAGTGAATGTGTGTGTGCTTGATGCCCGGGACGCTGCCGGCCCGGCTGCACCACGTGGCACCACCTGGCCAGCATGTGCTCGGCGCGCCCTGCTCTGCCCACCCCCTCCTCTGGCACAGGTGAGAGCTGTTAATCACAGGTCGGTGTGTGTTTTCAAATGGCAACCCGTCTTTTAATGAAGCCCATGGGGAAGTGATGGAGAATGTGCCTATGATTATCAGGAAGCTTTCCATGGATCAGTTATCTGTTAGTTGATCAGACATGTTTTTTTTAGGATCAGTGGATATTTGAACAGCATTATCTTCGTGTATGAAGTTTATTCTTCAAAGGCTACTTAGTCTGCTGTCTGTTTGATTTACCGTACAATATCTCATTTTTTGTCAGAAGTTTTTTTTCTATTATTTACTAGTAGGGCAGCATGGACATTACTGGCTTTTTTAGATTTGTTATTGAATTGTCTGCAGCAGCTCTTGTATAACTGGTGTAGATTGTGGATTCCTTCAATAATTCCACTACTGACTAAGAAAGTGATGTCAGTGATTGTGAGCAACAGAGCTTCATAAATTCTGACTCTAGCGATGATGAGTTCTATGGGTTCAACAAAAACTAGAAGAGTACTCGAACTTTAAAGTCTCCCTTTTGTTAATGACAGTGATGATGGTTCTTAATGCCACTGTTGACTGCTGTTCACTTTACAAGGTTGAAGTACGGTATTACTGTAGTCTGTTATAGTTTATTGAATAGTTTAGTAAACCATTTGATTCAGAATATTTTTTTTCTTGTTTTCCTCCTCTAAAAACTAGGTGCGTCTTATGGTCAGGTGCATCTTATAGAGCGAAAAATACGGTAAATTATACCTTGGCTGTAACATTTTCATGCTTCTACTTCATACTGTATGAATTACAGACATTAAATAAACATCCATTTAGACTCCAAGGCAGTGAGCTATCTCTTAAACTGAACCCTAAAATACCCTGCTTAGGTGACCTGATGATGGGGGAGCTAGCTACATGATGGTACCATTATAGACACTTTTAACTTTTCCCTTAAAATACGGAGAGCAAAAAATGGAGAGCAGTGTTAAATGAGTGGGCCGGGAATTTTATTTATGCTATTTGTAAGCCATCCTGAGGCCTTTTTGCGATTAGGACGGCATATAAATATTTTAAACAAACAAACAAATAAAATCAGTGGGTTCCATGGAAAATTCACACATCTGCCAATAACCACTTCTGGGTTGTAGTAAGTTAATGTCAGCCTCAACCCAACACCCAACCTGCAATTGAGGTTTCATACTTCTGGACACACCAGAACTACTCTGAACTACACTGCAGGGGTGTCACTGGCCATATTCCCCCAACCTGCAGTATGGAGACAATGGAGTTCATACTGCCCAACCTATAAGCTGGATACAATGAACTGCATCTGCTTTTGAATTTGTACCAACAGAGTTATTTTTAAATGTTTGGCACAAAATATTCTGACTACCTAAGGACAGGCACTCGGAGAATGAGTTCAGCATTAGGACTGATAATGCTCTTAATACTCTGAACGGATCAGGATATTACCTACAGCAAACTGTGACCAGTAATGTTTCTTGCACCCAACTCGTATTTAGGCACTGGCAGACATTGGAAGACATTCTGAGAAAAATTTCACCTACACACGCTGAGGATGAGAAAGTCCTCTCTCTCTGATATGTGCTATTAAGCTAGGATGAAGAAATAGTTTGCTACTCACATTATTATATGTGTGGCCACCTGGAAAGCTTTGGCCTGTGTTTTGTGCTTCCATTGGGAACCTAAAAGGAAAAGAAGGCAGTGGAAGTCACGAAGAAAGAACAACTGAAATTCCTGACTTCCACTCCAAGACCACCACAGGACATCTCTCTCCCCTGTTAACCCACCCTTCATTCAGTCAGCTCGCTCTGTTCACACAGTCCATACTGGCTTTCTATAAATTAGCGTATTAAATAGACTGAGAATTGGAGCCTAACAGGAGCCCATCCCACTTGATGAAGTTCCAATGATGGGACACTTTGTGATCTTGTCTTTGTTGATCAAACGTCAAAACTCATCTAAACAGACTTTAAGGTCACTACTCACGAGGCATGCAGAGCGTTTGTAGCAGTGGAAGCACTTAGCTGAGGGTAAAGAGGCGGAGTGGGATTAGAGCTTGGGACAGCTGTGCTTTGAGACTGGCAGTCTGAAAAAAAAAGTGGGGGACAGTTGGTTTTATGATTATCATTGCATTACATGTCACTGATAACCACAGCTTTCTTTCTTTTGCAAGGAACCCAAGGTAGCTTACATAGTTCTCCCTGTGTTGCTCTAACAACAGCCCTGTGAGGTAGGTCAGGCTGAGTCTCAGCAACTGGCTGGAAGTCACCTAGTGAGCTTTATGACTGAATTGGTGCTAGAACCCAGATCTTTGGCGTCCCAGTCCAGCACTCTTAATCACTGCATCAAACTCGGAAGATTTTTCTACAGATATTTCAACACAGCAGCAGGTAAGAGCTTAACACAGTATTAAAGCAAACTTCAGTATCAGGGCCAGAGAATGCTCATTTTCAGAGAATGGCTCCAGCTTTGAAGGGCCCTTCAGGATAGACACATTCCACAGACCCCTTAGCGAGTTTTCCTTCTCATTGCCACTGTCAGAAGTTACTGCTTCTCTTCCCCATAAGTGCGACTGTTATAACCGTGCAGTGAGCAGGTAAGCGATGGCACCTCCCGCTCCTTTTAACCACGACCACCACCACCACTGCAAGGGGCAGGTAAAAAAGCAGGTTGCCATGAGTAAGGTAAGCAATGACGGGGGGCTCCTGCCAGTGGGCCCCTGCTGCCAGGTGGGCCCTTGGCAGGTCTTCAACCAGCCCTTCTCTTGGCACCAGCCCTGGCAGCAACAACGTTTTCATTCGGTCCTCACGTGCCTGGTCCTCCCAGTGTGCACTCTTGCGTGCTGGAGCCAAGCAGAAGCGTCAGCAGGTGGGACAGAATGCGATGAAGAATTCAGCAGATGCTTAGGCTACGCCGCCACCGCTCTCCTTTTATGGCTCAGAGGCATGCAGCTTGTGACCCCTCCACCTTCTACCTGCCCTAGCCAGTGCAGCCAATGGAGAAGAATGGTGGGGGCAATAAGCGAAGACTCCGGCAAGGCCAGAAACTGCCCACCTGTTTTAAATGAACGGAGCACAGATGTGAATAAACATCTGTGCCTGCCCCTCACACATCTGCTTTGACTCTTGATATATAAACAAACAGTCCCATGGAAAGAAAGAGGGAAAGAGATCTTTCTTTTATCCTTTTACAGCCCCATGACACATGCATTAGAGTTTTCTGGTGCGTGCGTGTGTCTGTCTGTCTGTCTGACACACACAGAGGTGGGGAAATAATGGCTTTTGCAGTACAAATGACCAACGGTTACACTGATTTCAGCTCAAGAAATTTGCTCACAGCATTGCTCGGAAAGCCAGGTGCAGAGAGAGGTGTTTTCCCTTGAAGTGCTGTGCAGTGGAGCCTTGTGCCTTTATTCTCCAGGTCTATCTGTACAGGTAGCTCCCACTAAATGTTGTGAAGTTCAGTTGCTCAGTGTGTGTGTACAGGATATTCTGTAAGCTACAGGTAACAGAGAAGGCAAGTGCTTTGCACACGGAACAGGGTGTGTGAGCGGCGAGGACGTCAGCATTATCAGGAGGGTAGGGCAGAATATTTGTCGCAAGGTTCAATAGTACATGGCAAGACTAAATAGGGGAGGGCAAAAAGGAGCGGCAGTCAGCTACTTCTTTCTAAGCTTTATACTGAATAGTAAGTTGTAATCTGATAGTTCATTCCTGTGATACAGAAGGCCACTACAGAGGTCTATTCAGTGGTTTGCATAACAGATGGGCAGTCTGTGGCTTGCAGGTGGCTCTCAGCCAATTGCCATGGGCACTCCTCCCTCCACCTGCTTCTCTCCCACTGTCCACCTAATGGTCACTGCGTATTGCTGAAAGTGCTGCAGTCGGGTGTTTTGCTGGAGAGGGGCAAGGAGTGTGTGATGGGATCTCAGTGAGTGGGGGGGGGATGTGTGTGTGCAAATTGATGAGCAGAGGGATGTGCAGACTCTGCCCACTGCCACATGCCACCTTTCATAAATAAAATGGTTGCCCATCCTGGTTTTACAGTCCGTGTGCAGAACCAGAGTGCTGCTCACAAAAATAGGAGCTCCTGGGGAATGGAATAAGGCACGATCTGAAGTAATGGATGGAGGGACGTCCCCCACTTGCCTTCTTCCAGTGTGCCCTCAGCTTCGAGATCACGGGCAGAAGAGCAGGCATGGGTCAACCACAGTCTCCATTCATCTGGCCCTCAACCTAACTCTGAAAGATTGGTCCCTTCCATGCCAACTCGCCGGGCCAGGAAGAAGGAAAGAGAAAAGGAGAAGGGGGTGGCAGAATAAGAGGAAACACAAAAGGAATGGCCCCATCCAAGTAGCCCATTGTCAGCCTTGCAGAATGCGCACCGCCTCGCCAGGCAAACAGGGGCTTTGATGTAGGGAAAGAGGAACCTTGTAGTAGATGGGCAAAAATTACTCGGACTAGATAGCAAAAGAAAAATCAGCTAAGAGACTCTCGGCAAATTAAGGGGCAGGGGGAGGGTGGGAAGACCTGGTGATGTTCTCTGTAGGAAAAGGTTTGTTGCTGTAACTAGCCCTGCACTTTTTGTTTTTTCATTTAAAAACCGCAGCATTTTAAAAGTCAACAATTTTAATGATTCTCCAGTCGCTTTTGCTTTGTTCTATTTTGATTTAATTTGATTTACTTGATGTTTGTTTATTGTTTCATACTGTATCACTGTTTTAATTCTGTGGATGATGTTATGAGTTGTTTTAAATTGTTTTAAATTCCTGTAAGCCGTCCTGAGATAGTTATATAAAGGACGGCATACTAACGCTTTTAATAAATAAGTAAATAAGTAAGCCTGCAGCCTTCAACAGATTGCTCAGGGACAGAGAGCCCTGACAGATAAAGTGTTTGCCACTCCTGTGTTAATGTATTTTCTCTTGTCTGAAATGCACCAGAAAAGATCCAGAAAACTAGCAGTGAGAAGGAAGACTACAATAAGTGCATTTTCTGTCTGAAATGCCTTTCATATCACAGTTCCCTGACCCAAATCTATAGATCTGAGACCCAGAGGAATGAATTTCTATCTCCCCCCACCATTAAAACATTCATGAGTTTGCAATTTTTACATACTTAATTCTGAAGGTTGGAGAGCCACAGAGCTGGCCCCCGCAAGCAGTGGCACAGAAGCTGGAAAATTCGACCCGAGGTCAAGCAAGTCACAAGAAGGAGCAGATGGCTGGTTGCCCTTGACCTTAAAATTAAAGCAAACAAACCAGGGTTATCCCCAAGACTGGCTCCAAGTGCAAATCAATCATTCAGTGTGCAACAAGCAACAGCAGCAAGGGTTTCATTAATCTCCACTTGAAGTTCTTGGCTGCAGTAAGGATCTAGTTAGGTAGGCTGCTTTAATTATAGGATTCAGTTAATCACCGAGGTTTTTTTTAAAATGTGTGTAAACATGTATGTGTGCGTGCCTCCCTCCCTCTCTCTCACACACACACACACACATACGTGTACAAGTACACAAATAAAAGTTTTCAGGTCAAGAAACAAAAGGAATACCAAGTAACTTTGGGCAGATTCAGCGAGCACTGCACAGTTCAAATTACTGCATGCAGAACTGATCATTTCTTGCAAGATGAAATTTCATGAAGTACAGAGTTTAACAGTTGCAATTTGGATATTCCTTTACTCATAATCACCCCTTTTTCTAGCAGCTCTCTATTTCTATCATGCTTCGAAGTAGATTTGACGTTCACCTATAAAGCCAATAGAACAGTGCTCCATTTCTGCCTCCCTGCTTCCAAACCTATTTGGTTCCTTGCCCAGTTAAAGCTCAGATACTGATACTTCCTCTTCTGCTGAACACTGTACAATGGGTCACAGGAGGAGAATGCCATTCAGTGCACATCTACTTAGGGTAAGGGCCACTGAACTCGGTGAACACGCGCTGCTGAGTTAACACACCTAGACTTGGAAGGTGTCAATGCCGTCTAATGAGTTCAGAGTCCAAAAAAATATAATACCATCACTGTTTTAGAATGCTTGTCCTAGCAAGCAATGGCCATTCTAAACCAGAAGCATTGGCTGTTAATCTCTTACCACCGAGTGTTCGTTTTGCAGCCTCTGATTCTCCAAGAAACGCACTCTGTTCCGAGAGAACCTGCATGAAACATGACTGTCAGTTCCAAGCTGTGCAGATATGATGAACAAAGGCAGTATTTTGTAATCCTTACTTCAAAATTCCTAAAGACCACCCTTGTGAACAAAAAAGAACTCAAAGACAATTAGCCTCCCCACCCAGTCCTATTTAACAAGAAACTGGATGAGACTAGAGTGCAACTTTCTAGGTACTTCAATACTTTTGGAGGATATATCTTTTCATTCACAGTTAACAATCTCTGTTGTTTTATTCTTATGTAGTCTAGGGCAACGATTAATCATCTGTAAGCCACAGATGATGTAACAAGGAAACACAGTACAGAGTTATCACTGCAACAAAGGAAATCTTTGTTCTATTGAGAAGTAATAGGCATGACTAGCTGCAACCAAGGAAGTTCCTACAACTAGCGTATGATCCCAAAATAAAATAAAATAGAATAAAATAGAATCCAGAACCCCACCTGGCAGCTTAGCTGCTTGACCATACAGTGACCTGTGGGTTAAGGGAAGTTGTACGTGGGGCTATTCTGTCCCAAACCCAACACAGCACAACTCTACATGTGGAAGAGGAAGAAAGACAAACATAGAAGACTGGAAATTTGTAGTGTGTGAAAAATCAGTTGGGGTGCACTAAAAGATCTAGAATGGGGTACACAGGAGGGCATTTTGCAGCAGAGAGGCCAAAGCACAAGAGGTAGCAAGGATTTTAGTGTGCCTGGAAGAAACAAGAGAACCTGTAAAGTGGGCAATCTGTGATCCTCCACTGGGCCATTTGCTGTACTATCTCAAAATGTGGGCTTCAGCTTGCCCACCTCTGCGATATTCTGCTCGAAATGCAGAGACTGCCCGGAACACTTATACACACCCTGCAAAATACAGTTTTGGGCACTGGCTGCATCTGAATGTAAGGTTAAGCTGTAGTTTATCACTATGTGAAGGAACCTTCAGAGTTCCTCCAGAAGAGCTTTTAGGAGCTATCAGAAGCTCTCCCCTCCGTGTTACATTTGCCAAGGTTTATCATATCTGAACCCTAAATTGTGCCTTATCCTAACTATGGTTTCCTGAAACAAACTACCATCATAAATCACAGTGTCAGTAAACCATGATTTAAGACCTGGGGGAAAGAGAGGACAATTCTGCTTTATTGAATTTCCAATTATTCATTTGAAGAAAATATAAAGTGTCAGGTTAGATGTAGGGAAGAAGAATGGAAGCAAATGTAGTGTTGGGATCAATGGCACTGATGACAAACCCTCATTCTGTCTGGGTTTCTTTCCTGAGAATGGATGAGTCATGAGGGTTCTTGGGGGAGCTGGCAGTCAAAAGTCATGCCAGTTGAAAACTGGGGCCTGAGGAGAAAAGGAGTGAGGTATTGTCTGTGTAATCCAGTTTACAATTTACTTGGTGCGGTGAGACTGTGAAATGTCATTACCGTTATGCAATGAGAAGATGAAACAGTTATCCAGGGTGGCTTGGATGAAATCCATACCTAGGAGAGGTGTCAGCTTAAACAAAAATAACCAAGTTCCCCTGGTATATTTTTGGGACCAGAATAACAGAAGACATTTTCTCAAATGGTAGCAACAGGCTGGCAATACCAACAACAGGGTGAGATATCAGAAAGACTGTCCACAGTTTATCTGGGTTTGGGCTGACGTTAGTTAAATATGAAAGGAAAAGATTCCAATCTCTAATCCTTCCAGCCAGTCGGAGGCAAATGCAAGAGACTGCTGATGAAGCCTGTCTGTAAAACAAGTCATAGTTTACTGTTACATCAAAGTGTAGCAAGCGTCTTTTGTTTCTGACACATTTCAGCTTGAACTTTCGTAGGAAATTGCCTTTTTAAATGAGTAAAGCAAGTAAAGTTTGCTTACTCTCTCTGTATTCATGGCCAATAGGAACTTCAAATGAAAAATCTGTGTAAAGGCAGTCAAGCTGCACACACCTGTTTCTAAAGTGGTTAATGACCAAAAGAAAACACTTGTAGACAGTTTGAAAAATGGGTCTCAAAATTTACAAAGAGAAAATGTCCAAGTAACAACCAGCATTTGTTATAAATGCCAGGTCCCTCTACTGATCTCCCTCTATTTAGAAAAGGCTGAATTCTATGTAATTTAATCCATGCAATTGCTCCAATTTAAACTTCAACTGTAAATTCAATCCATCATTGTTTCTTAGAGCTGTTTTAATTTCTACAGTGCTGAAGTTCTTTTCACAAACTACAAATGTTCACCTGTACCTGGAGTTTTAGAGAACACAAAACAGAACAGGATATTGGCATCAGTAACACGAAAGAGTATTAAAATATCTTTCCCACTCTTCTAACAGGGGATCAGAATATGTTTAGAATGTCTCCATACTGAAAAGGAGAGTCAAACCTTGATTTACAAGAAAAGCCATGTGCAGGCACTAAGTCTGCTGCATTCCCACGATGGCCAAAGAACAGAGAATCTCCAAGGAGGCAGAACACACACCCTTTGAGCAGCTCTTGAAACCATGCTCCTGGTTCTTTTTATCCATGAGCTAGCAAAGCAGGCAGGTGGTATGATCAATAAGCCCACCTATTTCCAGCAATATGTACAAAGCAGAGCTTCTGCTTACAAGCATTGTCTGCTTCTTAAAACACACTTCTCAAGGTAGGCTGAAATCTGCTGCATACTCAAACATCTCTCCTGGAAGGTCAGATGCATGCCCAGTACATGAAAAATAAGCATCATACAAGGGATTCTTATTCGAGAGATTTGGGGCCAATTGAGATATTATGTTCCTCAGGTGAGATCAGTAGCAGGCTACACGGTCCCCACTGGAGAACTGAGCAACAGAATGGGAGATCCAGGAGAGTGGTTCACCTCCCAAACTCTTGGGGAGATCCCATGTTTATCCAGCAAACCACAGGTTCGGATTTCCCTACAAAATATAAAGGACAGAGAAGAGAGTGTACAAGGCCTTCTCCTGAAGGAAGATCTCACTGGCATCCAAAAAAGCTCTTGATTAGTTCAACTGGAACAGCCCGAGTATATACAATGGTAAGTTAATGCTACATAATGAGCGGTTTCACCTTTCATGTCCTAGTAGGACATTATTCAGATTTTCATTCACTTGGATCAGTTCGGCGACTACGTCTTCATTCTGCACAGTCCCTAGCAGTTCCATGATTCTCTCTTGCATGACCCGGCATGTCTTGTAGAGCTTCTGCCAAGGGACAAAAGAGAAAAGATCTCCTATTAGCATATGCATGGTAAGAACTATGGATGCTGAAGACACAACCACAACTGCCTGAAAAACATGTAATCAACACTGCATTTAATTTGTCACTTTCTCTTCAATCTTTTAAGGGGAAAATGCCATTTTTCCTTTTCCTTTTTAAAGAGTCTTGCTGGAAAAGCTTGACCAACTTCTAGGTACAGCCTTCTCTCCTTCCTGACAATTACAGACAAGGCTGGCCTTCCCACGCAGCATAGCAAAGCACCTGCTTCAGACAACAACATGCAGCGGAGGTGGGGCAGAGAGTTACATCCCAGGGTGTAGAATACAATAATGCTCCGCTTCTAATTCCCCCTTGACAACATTTCAGATGGACTTCCTGCACTGCAGAGCACTTGTCCCAAATTGCACTTACCCATGCTCTACATTCATCGTGGAATATCCTTCTCAAGGTGCCTCCTCTGAGGGCAGCTTGGCAGGCAGCAAAAAGGGAGACGTCTTTCCAGTGGTCCCATTATGGCAAGGCTCATCTGTTGCCAACAGTGCTGTCTTTCTGGCACCAGGTTAAGGCCATCTTTTTCACTCAGCATGTTTCTTTTGACAGCGCGTTTTAATCATGCAAATCTTTTCCTTGTTGATTGTTTCAAATTGTTTCAGCTATGTGTGTGTCTTTCTCAGTGTGATAAATGTTTATTTATGCAGGAAACTGGTCCTCATAGGGAAGGCACTCCTTTAACTTTTTATTTCCGTTACCCTTCTGTACCATTGCTATGGCAAAGTTCGGAAAATCGTGCTCTATATGCACTCTCAGCCTAACATACCACCCACCCTTTCAAGAAGCAGGTCCCCACATGAAAACTGAATTTTTATCTCTTGCATATACGAAAGTTTTCAGTTTTCCCTCCTCTGAAACAACACCTTTATTTACAAAGTAAGCTTCTTGCATTCTTTCAAGTGCAGACTGTTTTTCTTTGCAAAGGATGTGGGCAAAAGAAAGAGGCAAGAATACAACATTAACCACAGACTGAAGAAAGCTAAATAAGGAAGCTGTCATAAGATACTGATGCCAGCTCGGACTAAGGAGCCATCTAATCCAGCAATCGCTCTCCCAGCAGTGGCCTTGGAAGGTGAGCAAGTGGTGCATAACAAAGAGAGCCATCTTCTGCTCTTTGTCTCTGGTAATCAGTCCCAACATGTTAAGATCTTACAATCCTTAGATCTCTAAAGGTGCTGTGCTAGTATTAACTGATGCTTAAGCAGCATATCCCAGCGCATTGGAAAAAAGCAGTAACTTGGTGCTGAAATCAGGTAGTACCACCAAATTCTGGTCGCAAATCACCACCTCTCCCCACTGCACTAGTTTCGTTGTGCAGACATTGGCTTATGCTAATCCAACATCATTAGGGCTAGTGATGAGATGCCACTGGATACTACCCAATGAATTGCAGTCCAAAATCCTATCAGTGCTATTTGAAATGAAGAAGCCTAGCTGCTGTACCTGTAGAAGCTCCATATCTTCTGGATTTTCTGATCCAGGGACATTTTCTTTCAGTATCGCTGACATAACCCTCACATTCATTTTCACCATATCCAGTTCGCTGTACAGCTTCCCAATCTATTCAAGACAACAAAAGAACAAAAATACAAGACAAATAGGCAGAAAGGTGTGCTGCAGTTTGCAAAAGTGTTGCCTGGCTTCTTATCAGAGAGCCACACTGAACTGGTGCTAGCTTTCCAGGGACTTTCCAGGCCTTTGCCCAAGATTCAATCTCAAATTCAGATTGCGGTCTTGAACACATGGGGCAGGGACAATGGGGCTTCCTTTTGGATAAGCATGTGCAAGTATTACACTGTAAGCCCACAGTCCCACGCCCACTTATTTAAAATGAGTAAGAGTCATTACTTCTCTGGGCCTGCTGAGCAAACATGCTTAGGACTGGCCTGTCAATTCAACGCATTCCTTCCCCTAAAACCTCAGTGCAGAAGTGGAGGCAAATCCCACATTCAATTAAGAAGAAACAAGTAAAGCATCGTCAAGTGATGAGATTTAGTATACGTGCATCAGCCCAACATTTTAGTGGGTTAATGCACGCTGTCAAAAGAGGGGCTATAGTGTTTATCCACTGTTGGTTGCATTAATCAAGTTTAATACAAAAACAAAACCCTTGATTAACTCAAAGGCCCCCCAATTCAATAAGCAGCATTTTTCCATATATTGGGGGAGGGAGGTACAAAACAAGCAGTTTTTAAAATTCCAGATGTTAAGCAGCCTCATTCAATAGATTTGTCCAGTTCACAGGGGCCCATGTTATTGAAAATTTCTGGGTACTTTAGGTGGCGCTTTAATTCTCTGGATAGATTCCTGTTACAACAAAAAACAACAAACCACAAGCACTACACTACTTCTGCAATGCCCATAAATCACTTTAAAAGAGAGAATGGAAAGTAACTTTGAACCAACACATCCATTTCAAGCAGAAGAGAAAGGCTTATCACACACGAAGGAGGGAATGCTGCTTTCCAACAAGACACCCATGTTGTGTGTAAAAATATGGACTGTATGCTTGCTGCCTTTTAACTATGTCTATATATATATTTAAACTGATTAATCAACCACAACACGGGTGATTAAGATTTCTTTCAGTGGACCAAATTCTTATTTAAAAATAGGGAAACAAGTCAAGTTTAAAGTGCTTGATAAAAAAATGATGTTGAAAAAAGCTTGTTTCCACATCTTTTACTCTGTGTCCTGCTTTTTAAAAAATCAGCATTATTTTGCTGCAATTTTTCCAAATGGATGAAAAGGAGCTCAGTCCCACTGCTCATTTTTTTCCTCACTAACATTTAGCATCAGTGGAGAGGGTAAACAGTTCATTATATCACAGCCTTTATGAAAATGATGGCAAAGAGCACTAAATTAATTTACAGAGGCATACATATGGAGAAACACACATGCATACAAATGGAATTCACAGTCACAGGTTTTTTGCAGGAAGAATCCATGCATCCAACAGTCAGGACCGCAGACCTGCAGACACTTAGCATAAAGTAGTTCCTCTTAGCAGTAAATCATTTTCAAGGCCAGTGAGGCAGGGCAATGCACAGTTTAATATTATAAGGAGCTTGCACAGTACCTGTTCAGGAATCAGTGTTATGATTGCAGCTGTGGGGAGGGACCTTGTTGCCTTTTTCGAGGTCGGAGGCTATGGAAATGTAATGCAAATACATATTAGAGGTGTTTGAAAAATGTAAACCAGATTTTCAGATAGCAAGACAGGGGACAAGAACATTGCTGAGCCAGGGTGGTGCAGTGGTTAAGGCTGTTTGTCTGGGATTCAAGAGATCCAGGTTCTAGTCCCTTCTTGCTTTCTCTGGACATGAGGATCTAAGAAGCAACCAGAGCCTCCTCAAGAACCCCACTATTCTTTCAGCATTCAAGAGGGAAAAAATTCCCTAAATGTTTCACATGTGGGAAGAACTTTAGCGGATGCAGCAAGCTTACCTTGTCCTCAAACAATAAGCATCGCTTCTGCAGCATCTCAGCCGCCACAGGGGAGAGGTGTGGCTGCTAACACTGCGAAATGTTCAGGCTAAGTGTGGAGAACTCCATTTCACCTTTGTGGAACAGAGCTCTCTTGGGCCTTGTAGTACTGTGATTTTACTTTGATATTAAGCTCTCTTCTCTTTGTTTTTAAACTACTGGATTACATTTATGTGGATTTACCACCCCAAATCCCAAAATACAGCTGTGCCAGGCAATGAGAAAATACTTTTTGGGCCACTAAGTCTGATGAAGCATTCTGGAGAATTCAAAAGGTTTCATATCATTGTGACTTTTTGGTTGGTCCTAAGAAAGAAATTGTCCAGCAGTGGATTTTGGATGTATTTCTACTGTTCTATATTTATTATTTACTTACTGACACTATGGTTATTTATAGTCCCTGTTTATTTTTTTTTAATGTTATACTTACTACTGTGTATCTGATGCTCTGTGAGCGGCTCTGCATGCAGTGCTGTGGAAAAGCAGGGTTTGACCTGAAAGTTGCAGCTGGTGGAGACTGCAGTGGCCAGGATGCTGTGTGGGGAGACCATCCATGCACGTACTGCATGGGCCGCCTATTCGGCACTAAGCCAAGCTCAAAATCTTGCTGTTGGCACAGTAAGCCTGGAATGACTTGGGACCAGGTTACATGGGAACCACCAGCTTCACTGGTTTACTGAGACTTCTACGTTGCCATGTGGTGGCAACCTGCCAGCGGGCCTTCTCCATAGCGGTACCCACATTTTGGAGTGCCCTCCCCTACGCCAGTACCTAGGAGCTCTAGGTTCAAGAGGATGGTCTGAGGCAGATCCCTTCTTCTCAGCCCTTCTCCTGTCGTGTGGGGATAATTATACTAGCCTGCCTAATTATACTGCCTCGTGAGGTTTGTGCTCGGGGCTGATTCCTCCCTCTGGAAGGGTGCGGGCCCTATTAAGATGGTCCGCCCTTGGAGCAAGATGGATCCAGATGGATTCCTGAGGGCTCTGGGGAATTTTCCGGCTGATAAAGCTGGCGCTCCTGTTGATATCCTGGTCGATTTGTGGAATAGGGAGATGACCAGGGCAATCAACACGATCGCTCCTAAGCATCCTCTCCCACCTAGCAGAGCCCGCTCAGCACCATAGTGTAAGCCTGAGTTGCGGACGATGAAGCAGGCTGGGAGACAATTAGAGCGCAGGTGGAGGAAATCTCGGGACGAACCTGACCGAACACACTTACGTGCTCATTATCGAGTCTATGCTGTGGTGGTGAGGGCGGTGAAGAGGCAGTTCTTCTCCGCTTCCACTGCTTCCTCACAGTGCCGTCTGGTGGAGTTTTTCCGAATAGTGTGAGGCCTAACACATGCTGGCCAGGAAAATGACGTGGTTGCACCTTCGGCAGCCCACTGACTTTGCCCAGCACTTAAAGGAAAAAATTGCTCAGATTCGCCGCGATCTGGAGTCTAGTATGGGAAGTGTCCAGAGCTCCATTTGGTCCATCTTTAATGGATGAGTTTCAGTTATTGTGGCCTGATGATGTGGACAAGGTGCTTGGAATGGTACATCCCACCACCTGTCTCTTGGACCCTTGCCCTTCTGGGCTACTTAAGGAGGCCAGTTATGGGATTGGTCCCTGGGTTCAGGAGGTTATTAATGGCTCACTGAGGGAGGGCCGGGTCCTTGAAGGAGGTGGTGATCTGGCCTATCCTGAAGAGGGCATCCCTGGACCCAGAGGTGGCCACCAACTTTAGACTGGTGACCAATATTCCGTTTTTGGGCAAGGTGTTAGAGTAGGTGGTGATGGGACAACTCCAGACACTCTTGGATGAAACTGATTATCTGGACCCATTTCAGTCTGGCTTCAGACCCGGTTATGGTACTGAATCTGCCTTGGTCGCCCTGTATGATGACCTGTGCAGGGAGAGGGACATGGGGAGTACATCCCTGTTGGCTCTCCTGGACCTCTCAGGGGCTTTCAATACCATCGACCATGGTATCCTCCTGGATAGGCTGGCTGACTTGGGAGTAGGAGGCACTGCTTTGCAGTGGTTCCACTCCTATCTGGCCGGCTGATTCCAGAAGGTGGTGCTGGGGGACTTTGACTCTGCGCCATGGCAGCTTTGCCATGGAGTCCCGCAGGGCTCTATTTTGTCCCCCATGCTATTTAACATCTACATGAAACCGCTGGGAAAGGTCGTCAGGAGGTTTGGGCTGCGGAGTCATCAGTATGCTGATGACACCCAGTCCTACCTCTCATTTACATCTGCTCCAGGTGAGGCGGTGGCTGTACTGAACTGGTGCCTGGCCAAGGTAATGGGCTGAATGAGGGCCAGTGAACTGGGCCTCAATCCAGATAAGACAGAAGTCCTGTTGGTGGGCAATGCGGGTCTCCAAGTAGGTGATTTTGACCCAGTTCTGGACGGGGTAGCACTCCCTCTGAAGGACAGGTTCTGCAGCTTGGGAGTACTCCTTGACCCAGAGCTGTCACTGGATTTCCAGGTGGCGGCGGTGGCAAGGAGTGCTTTCCTACAACTTCAACTGATCCATCAGCTGCGTCTTTATCTGGATGAGCACTCCCTAGCAACAATGATACATGCTCTGGTAACTTCCCACTTGGATTACTGCAACACACTCTACGTGTGGTCCAGATACTGCAACTGGTACAGAATAGAGCTGCCAGGCTGCTGACGGGGACTGGCCGTTACTCTCACATAACACTGGTCCTCTACCAGCTCCACTGGCTTCCAGTTGAAGTCTGGGCCTAATTCAAGGTGCTGGTTTTGACCTATAAAGCCCTAAACAGCTTGGGATCAGGATACCTGAAGGAACGTCTCCTTCCTTATATGCCCTCACGTCCCTTAAGTTCTATGGGAGAAGCCCTACTCTGGGAACCCTAAGAGAGGTAAAAAGGTCATCAACTCGGAGTAGGGCCTTCTCTGCTGTGGCACCCAGACTCTAGAATGTACTCCCCAGAGAGGTACACCTGGTGCCAAACTTATACTTTTTTCGGTGCCAGGCCAAAACCTTTTTATTTACACAGTATTTTAAACTTTAATATGTAGGTTTTAAGTTTAGTCTCTCTGTTTGTTTTGTGATTTATTGTTTTGTTCTGTTTCATTATTTACTGAAATTGTTGTTTTAATTATCTTTTTAAATATTGCAGGCCATCCTGAGATCTTGTATAATAGAATGGCATACAAAAGCTTTAAATAAATAAGTAACTAAATAAATTGTAGTTGGAAGTATTGCTGTTTTCCCATCATGTGGTCCCATACACCTATATTATCTGTGTGAATACTAGGACATCGTGGGCAGGCCCGTTATGACTGCTCAGCTAAGAAAGAGGTCATAAATAGGTAAGAAAATCCCCAGTCACATGATTCTCACCCAAATGACTGCTCACCTACTGGCTGGGCAAGGATCAGATGAGAAAGACTCACATGACTGGCCCTAACCGTGTGGTGCTCACATTCACCACAGGTAGGATCCTTCCATGGAGAAGTGGCTCCCATAGCACTGTGAGTACCTAAAGGGGTAGCTAGTGAATGGAGATGACATGTGTTGAGAAGAAAGCTATCTTTTCATATGATTATGCAATATAATAGAAACATAGAAAAACAGAGCGAGTCAGAAGGGGCCTCCCGGGCCATCTAGTCTGACCTCTGGCACCAGCCGGCTCTGCTCACGACATGCCCACCATGTGGACGTTCAGCCTATCCTTGAACACCCGCACCGATGGGGCCTCAACCACCTCCTGGGGAAGCCCCTTCCACACCCTCGGGGTCCTGACTGTCAGGAAGTGCTTCCTGGCATCCAAATTGAACCATGGTTCCCTGAGCTTTGCTCCGTTGGAGCGGGTCCTGCCTTCCTCTGCAGGGGAGAACAGGTCTCTACCCATCTCCGTGTGACATCCCCTCACATACCTGTATGTTGCCAACATATCCCCTCTGAGTCTCCTCTTCTCCAGGCTGAAGAGACCCAGTTCCCTCAGTCTCGCAATGGTTAGATTGCAAATGGCTAGATAATGGTTAGATTGCAAACCTACATCTGTATCAATAATTTAATATTGACTAAATATTAATATTAAATATGTGAGAGAGCCAGTATAGAACAACCAGCATGGGACTGGAAAAACAGTCCCTTCTGGTTTTGATTGGTTGATGATTGTTTAAAATTGCTTCTCCCTCTCTCTCACTCTGTGCATGTGTGTGCACTGTCCATTTGTGTGTAAACAAGTTTTATATTATGTATAATATTGTACCGTTGAGGGTTTTGTTCTGTATAAGTTACCCAAGAGAGTTTCAACACAAGGCAACAAATGAAAGAAAGGAATAAAGCACATTGCCAGTTTTTAAAAATGTTTCTTTTACACTCTTCCCTTCTGGACTTCAAAAAGACATCTTGTGCTTTGCCTGAACATGTTCAGTTTTGTTTAAAATTTGGCAAAGGCTTGCAAAGCCTGACAGGCATTCTGGACATTTGTCTTCATCTGAAGAAGAAACTGGGATCTGCAATCTGGTGGGCAGCTTTGAAAGTCTCCACATCTACATTTGTCGTTTAAAAAAAGCATTTCTCCCCCTCTTGGATTTCTAAATGCTCTAAGGCAGAAACTTTTGACTGGTTTCTTGAGCAATGGAGATCACTGTGTAGAACATACATTATTTTTCAAGTAAACATCACACCTTCTCTGCGAGTGTGAACTTTGCAATGGGCTTATTCTGTTTCCAAACCATAGCGGCCCCTACCTTTGTGCTTCCCTTCTTGGTCTCGAGAGATGGAAATTCAACTCCTTTCTTGAGAAGGTCTAAGTAAACCTCTCTGACTTCACTCACATCCACAGCACCCTGAAATCCTCGGGCCCAGGTCTGTTTGTGAAAAAGACAGCTGAATAAGGTTTTGTCTGCAGCACCGTAACATCCATTTTTTTTTAAGGTGAAAAAGCCATTCCTTCCATGTCCATGAGCTGAACTGGTCTTGTGAAAGGACCCCATGGACATGTTCGGAAGTATCCATGAGAACTACTTGGGCTCAAGGTAAACTGCTAGGTGACCATGTCAACACAGTCCACAAAGATGGTGTTGATCAGGAAGGAAAGAGCCCACATTATGCTGACTCTATAAATTAAGATGCAGCCACATTGGAACGCTTCTCAAGTCCATTTGGAGCAGCTGGAGCTGGTACAGAATCTCTAAACTGGTTGGCTTAAATGTAGCCTAGAAATTATTTTAGACTGATTCCTGCTTTGGAATGCACTTTTGGAGGTTGTTGGTGTGTAAGGCTTTCATAGCTTGAAAAAGGAAGTAGGACTTTTGGCAGGACTAGCCCTGACAGACGGATCTTCATAGTCAGAGGCACTATACCTCTTTATATCAAGGACTTGGCATGCTGTCTGTGCTTGGCCCTTGCTGCCTTGCACATGGGCCTCCTGGAAACTTGGACTTGCCACCCTTAGGAGCAGTGCATGGCTCGTCTTAGTCTCTAACAAAAGCTTCATGTCTCGTGACACAATAGGTTCCAATATATGGCAAGACTGCATTTCACCATATGATGAAAAATGCTAGTCACATAACATGTTCCAGGACATGCTCAATAATTATCCTATCACATGGAGGCACTTTCATAAGACCATTTCAGTTTGCAAAGGAGTCTTTCTGATTACTCCCCCACCCACCTTAGAAACCCTGGTGTGAATCAGCCTAGACTCTCTGGAGGAGAACAAAATATCACTGCAGAACTATTTTACACTCGATATCTAGTAGGGGTTAGCAGGGACAACAAACACAACATGCACACTCTTTTCTTTCTGCTTACAGGTACATGAAGAAATTACCCTAAGCTCTCAGTGCTGTTGCTGTTCAGTATGAGAACTTATAAACGGCTTGCTTCTCTAGATTTCAAAGTGGTGTACACAAATCATAAAAACATCAGCCTATAAAAGCAATACACGAACTATGTTGTATCTGTATATGCATAAGAGAATAGGCTAAATTTCACAGGGAAGGCTTGCAAGAACAGATGAGACCTCAACATAGGCCTAAAGATAAGAAGAGTCAACCAAAGTCTTGTTTGGCAGGGCTGGGGGAAGAGACATTATTCCACATAGTGGATGCCACTACACTCTCTAATGCTCTGCTCCCAGCAACAGTAGAGAGGACCTCAGGAGTATGTGGCACCACTCATTGGGGTTATTAACATTTTTTCTAGGCTGCCTTTCAGGGCAAAAGCCCTCCCAAGGTGATTTGCTATCCCACAAAGCAAAGGCACAATCAGCCACTCATTGCTTAAGTGACAGGACCGAGTCCTGTCCCCGCCCCCCCCCACACCTTAACTGTCAGTCAGTTGGTCTGTCTTTCATATATGCTAATATAACCCTCTATAAGCTAATTAGCATAAGTGATGCTATGCAAATGCCATACTTTTCCCCCTCAGTACAGACAGACAAGCATAAAGCATACAATCAAAGGTGTGCTTTAAAAACAAGGCTGACAACCAGCCTGGTTGTTCTGTTTTTGCCCTCCGCTTCCCCCCTTTCCATAGACCTGTTCCTGCCATTCTCCATCTGCAGCTTACCAAAGAAGAAAGGCAATGAGGCTCCTATGCCTCCCACAAAACATTCTCCACAGGGCAGCTATCATGGGTGGTTTACCACACTAATAATACTTGCTTTATGCAGAGAGGAAAGGGGTAGGGTGGGCAAACATACCATGATGAAAGTCAAGATTTTCTCTTGCATATCTACTGGTAGATTGAACCTTGGATTCAGCAGCTTTACTAGTCTATCTTTGCAAAAATCCCTTTTCACGACCAGGGACTGGAAGCTTGGGCCACAGTTCTGCATACACATTTCGAGAAGCTGTAAAAGACAGTTTTTCTGTTATGATGGCATTATAACATTCAGTATGAAAGTCCCAATTCATAGAATCATAGAGTAGTAGAGTTGGAAGGGGCTATGAAGGCCATTGTGTCGAACCCCCTCTTGTTGCAGGATGCCAAGTTACCCCAACCCATTCAGATGGCTGTCCAGTTTTTTTGAATGTCCCAGTGTGGGAGAACCCACCACCTCTCTAGGCAGCTGGTTCCAGTCGTACTGCTGACAGTGAGCAAGCTTTTCCTGATGTCAAGTCTGAATCTAGGTTGTCGCTACTTGAATTGATTATCCCATGTCCTAAATTCTGGCATCAGCAAGAAGAGATCTTGACCTTCTTCTCTGTGAAAGCCTTTGTGGTACTTTTAGAGTAATCTCATGTCCCCCCTCAGTCTTCTCTTCTCAAGGCTGAACATGTCCAGTTCTCTCAGTCTCCCCTCACAGGGCAGTGCTTCCAAACCCTGGATCATTTGTGTTACCCTCCTGGGGACCCTTTCTAATTTTTCTGCATCTTAGCCCCTTCTCCCCCCCCCCCCCACCCTCCGCTTTCTCCTGACTGCAACTATTCACTGTGTCTCCAGCTTTTGCACCTCCCCTGCTCTCATCTGTAAAGGCTGTTAAGTCCTACATGAGGCTTTGTAACAAGCAGGAGGGGCCTAATACCAAATTATACTGGTATTTTTGGTTCTGCTGCATCAGACCAAGGGTCTCTCTAGGCCAACAATCGGTCTCCCACAGAAAGCAGAGGACGTAAGGCAATGGCCTTCTCCCACTGTTGTTCCCCAGCAAGTGCTATTCGGGAAGCTCTGGACCTGGAGGCACCAGGAACCTCTGGACCTGGAGGCATTTTCCTATGTGAGTCATAGGAACTCAATAGTGAGTTTCTATTATATTGCACACTGTTTCATAACAACGCTGTAGCCTAGATTCAGCAGGGTTACTCCCTGCAGCAGTGAGGCTGTGAACTGAAATGGAACAGCAGAAAGACAATCCCTGAACAAACAGATCCCCCGTATGCATCTACTTTACTTCATCAAAGTGACTGGAAGAGCTGCAAGTTTTTAGGGAGTACAGGCCAGTGGATCTAATGTAGCTGTTGTCAAAATGTGATTTGTTTTAAAATGATTTGTCTGATTCTCACTTATGGCAGTGCCCTTAAGCTAGGCCCACCTTTGCCCACAGTGTAGATCAGGGGTCTCAAATTCAACTGACCTGGGGGCCGCTGGAAGTAGAGTCTGGGAGAGGCTGGGCCGCATCAAGTATTCCACCACCGCGGTGGTGTTGGGCCGCTCATCCCGCGGCCAGCCTGGGCGCTGCCGGTGCTTTGAAGGCCACAGGGCCCCTCCCCCGTGCCCCGTCTGGCCTGGCAATTGGCCTGTGGGCCGCGAGTTTGAGACCCCTGGTGTAGATGATTAAAAGACATCAGCCCAAAAAGCTGATGGCCCCATCTGGGAATGGCCCAAAAAGCTTTGGCTATTGGGTGGTATAGAAATTAATTAAATATTAATAGTAATAATTACAGTAGTGTTGACCAAATGATCCATGGTCTGATGTGCGAATTCCCAAAATACACACCAGGGAAAGGTTTTCTTTTAAAGGATTTATTTTTGAGAATAACCAGCAGTCAATGAATTGTTCCAGTTATGGCACACCTGAGCAGACTTCAGATGGCCCTTTTACACACTGATCATTAAAGGGTTGCATGTAAGACAGCTAACACTTTCTAACAGGTTATGGAAGTGAAAAGTTGCACTGGTGTGATCTTTCCTGCCTGCACACCAAAGCAGAAAGAAGATGCTGGGAAGGAGGGGCAGAGGATGAGGTGAGCTGGTATGAATTGCCCTTTGTGCTGCTTTTATCTGTCAAGAGCCAATGGGCCCTCTCTGGAATGGTGCCTGGTTAAGTTCATTTCAAGGATACGCACATGCCGATTCCCAGAGAAGAGGGTTTTTCTCTGGCCAAGCTGTGTGTCAATGAAGGCATGGTTTAACCAATGGTTGTACCTATTTATCTGTAAATCAGTAATAACAATCATCATCATCATCATCATCATTTACAAAGAGGTATTGGTATGTCAGGTGAATTCACTGTAGCAGAAGCTTGAACTCAGGGAAAACAAAACATCCTTGGGCCACTCAGGCTTGATTGCATGCAGCATTTGAAAGACTATTTTAAAAGCTGCACTCTTTGCTTAGGCTCTGCGAACTATTGAATCTTGGAAGAAGAATGGAGCAATGATGATGAGAAATATACCCCAACTCACAGGATGCAGAACTTCTCCAAAAGAAACTGGAAAATAAATAGGGGACAGGCTGCTGTGTGAAAAGCCAAGCTAGTCGCAGCTGCCAAAAAACCTTGGCTCTTTGTAAAAACCAGACTGCATGAAAGACGTGCTAATCAGCCAGCCCATTTGCCTGCAGACAGTGCTTCAGAGAGATTTCATGTATCTAACACATTTTCTGCAGATTACATGAAGGAATTAGAGACGCATCTCCCATTAGCACACTTTCCCTAGATGGGAAGGGCCAATCAGTTACCCCTTTGAATAAAACTGCTGCAGTTAATGGGGCAGACCTCACACTCAATTACAGCAATGCAACCCTCCCATTGATTTCAATGAGTTCTATCAGCAAGAAGGAGCAGTTTGATTATTACTGTTATTTTATCAAAAAGGCATTGATAACTGAACTGATGAAAGTTAATCCCATGGTAACAATTATTTTGATTACAGAAGAATGCTGCAATTAGGCTTCTGTTGGCTCTGGGCCACATTCAGTTCAAGGGAAATAAAAATGTTTATTGTGCCTGTCTGGTTCAAGCCCCCACTCCCAAGCCTACCCAGACACACGGATTCACTCTTTCAGCAGCAGCCTGGCTGCCTGATGGCGGAGATCCCCCGCTTGGGATAAAAATCTCCTTCATAGGACAAGCAAGTCAGTGGAACACTGTTCTATGCGCCCTTGGAAAGCACTCTGTGTACTGTTACAGCCTGGGCTGGATTGTCCAATATGCAGAGCCGGCCACAGAGCAGAATTTCATCCAAAATGGGGGCTGCTCGCAAGCATTATCATCTGACAGCTCTTCAGCTTGCAGAAGACGCCCACCCTTAAAATACAGCTGCCACTTGGGATAGCTGTTTTTCGTATATCAAGGGCAGGGAGGCAAGCACCCTTCCAGATGATGTCGGACTTCAATTCCCATTATTTCCCACCATCCACCATGCTTGCCAAGGCTGATGAGAGTTCAAATATGACATCAGCTGGATGGTCACAGGTGTGTCCTGCTTTACAGAGCACTGTTTGAGGGGCTGTCTGGTCGAAACTTAAGGAAAGCAGTACCCAGCAGGAGTTAGCATCTGGACAGCATAATGAGGAGGCAGGCCATGGTCTTTGCCACAGTGTTGAAGAGTATTTTTTAAATATAAATTAAATGATTTTTTTCCAACTGGCAACTATACATATCACCATGAATTTGATTTAAATCAAATAGATTTAAATCCCCAGTCAGTCAGACTACATTTAAATCATGCCTTTTTACATAATTTGCAAGCATGCCTGCCATACCCATAGGTAGAGAAACTTTAACACATTCCCAAACCAGGTCTCTTTTATGGATTGCTGCCATTATAGGTTTTCTTCAATAAAGAAAGAATATGATAAACCTCAGGCTATACACAAAAAGACCCAAAGATTTGTGGAGTATTTGGATCTGAAAGGTTCACTTTCATATTTACTGCTTGCCCTTCCCTCCTCATACTTAGCTTCTTGTGCAAATCTATTCCACTGCCAACCATCTTCTTCTATTCACTGAATTTTTGAAACTTGGCACTTAAGAAGTAAGAGGTTGATTCTATGTACACAGATTTGCAAAGGAACGATGGGATTAAGGTCTTTTTCTCAACTCTGGATGCTTATTTTATAACCTTTTTGCTGTGAAGAAGAGACATGTGATCTGCGCAGACACAAATTCAGTTCTGAGAGCTGTAAAACCAAGCATCTGCAATTGGCCTCTTCTGGGGGTCACAGGAGGGATGGTAGGAGCCCCCCTGAAAGCCATGGTGGGGAGCATGTGTCCTACCCTTGGTCTATCTAGAACAAACAGTCTGATCCTGTCAGTGGTGAAGTAGGTAATTTTAGACTTATGGAAGGCCGGGGACCCTTTGTAGATGGTAATATGTCACGCTTCTCTTGTTTTACCATGTGCTAAGCCAGCCCTGCTTCATTTGAGTCTCTTCTGCTTGTTCTGCTGAGTGGGGTGCTGAACTAGTACCCAAAGCCCTGCCTGGAAAGCACCACTGCTTCCATCAGAAAATCACAGAGAACAACAACCAGCTGTGAGTGCTGTCAACTAATTACTCAGGAATAAGGTATGCTTAGCTTTTTTGGTTGGTACTATTCCTTAAGGGCCAAATCTGTGAAATAAATATATTCATGAGTTATTTATATTCACTTCTTTCCAGGCATTTCCTGGACAATGACTCAAAACAATGCTAACTTTCAAACCCCTTTAGAATTGTAATTAAGCAAGAAACACACAAACTGCATACATAGACTTGCCTATAAAAAGGAAAAGTTATAAATGAACTCTCAAGTCTTCCAGGTTTTCAAACAGTGCCACAAGTCCAGACAAATATTATATCAAAAACATATTAACATATCCCAGGGTGTTTATCTAGAATTTTGAGGCAACATTAGAAGCTGACATAATTTTAGGCAACCATCTTAATATGTGTTTGTAAATACAACTTTGGCCACATAAAGATGATGGGACCCAGAAAAATGAGTGGCATTCAAATGGTAAAGCAGGACTTTCCAATCTCCGCTTTTTGCCATATCGCCTTGAACCCCCCTCCCAAGCGGCTCCTGGGACTAAGAGACCCTCTGGAAAGGCATGGGACTGTGGCTGGGACGTTGGGATAAAAATTAGAAGGCCACCAAGGTGCATGAGAAGCAGTATGTGCTGCTTATGCAAAGGGTCCTGGTAATGTC